CCCCCCCCCCCCCCCCCCTCCCCGCTCAAACCGCATACCTAAACAACGGACTCCGATCCCCCATCCTCCGCAACTCCTCCTCCCCCCACCTCGCCCTCACCTCCTCCTCGCTCCCCACCGCCTCCTTCTCCGCATTCAACCGCTCATACGCCACCTTCAGCACCAGCGTCGCCGCGACCGCCGCCAGCGAGATCCCCAACCCAAACCCAAACCCCAACCAATAATGCGGCGCCTCCGCCTCCAGATAAACGTTGCACCCCACCGCACCGCCCAGGTTCCCGACGCTGATAAGCAGCGCCATGCCCACCGCCCGCTTCCACGACGGCGCCAGGTTGTTGCCCACCCACGCCAGCACCCCGATCAGCGGCGGATACACCCCCGCCGGCACGCAGAACAGCAGCGCGTACGTCAGCCCCGGCAGCCGCGGGTGCGGGATGCACAGCAAGCCGAGGAAGCCGCCCGCCGCGACGCAGAACGGCCCCGCGATGAAGGGCCACCGCTTTTGGCGTCGGTCGGCCCAGTAGGAGACGATGATGGTGGCGATGGCGCCGAGGATGTAGATGGGGATGGTGAGGAGCTGCGCGGCGGCGGCGGTGTAGCCGAGGTTGAGGATGACGGACGGTGCCGAGTAGGTGAAGCCGTAGAGGGAGATGGAGTTGCCCTTGAGTTTGTTGGCGTGCGTGCGTTAGTCGGGGGAACAGGAGGGGGGAGCGGACTGTATATACGCACCCAATACACGACGACGGCGCACCAAATCTTCCACTCCCCCAGCGCGGCGCGCACCGCCGGCCAACTGAACGCATCCGCCGTCTCGACCCTCCCCGTCCGCGTCCCCGCATCCATCCGCAGCCGGCGCACCAGGAACCGGCGCTCCCGCACGCTCAGGAACGCCGCCGCCTCCGCCGGGCCGTCCGGCAGCAGCGCGAAGCAGCCCGCCCCGACGCCCACGGTCGCGATCCCTTCGAGGATGAAGATCCACCGCCACCCCCGCAGCCCGCAGATGCCGTCCATGTTCTGGATCGCGTACGCGAGCAGCCCGGAGAAGGCGCCGGCGAGCGACGCCGCGCTGAAGAAGACGGCCATGCGCGTTTGCAGCTCGAAGCGCCGGTACCACGTCGTGAGGAGGAAGGTGCTGGCGGGGAAGAAGCCCGTTTCGGCGAAGCCGAGCTGGTGGTGCTGCGTTTTAGTCGAGGGGTGGGAGCTGGGGGAGGGACTGGATGGATGGGTGGATGGATGCATGGGTGGGTGATACTCACGGCTACGCGCGCGCCCACGAGCCCGCCGTAGCTCTGCACGATGCCCATGAGCGTCATCACCGTGCCCCAGGCGATCATCATGCAGCCGATCCAGATGGAGGGTTTGACCAGCTTGAGGACGACGTTGCTGGGGACTTCGAAGAGGGCGTAGGGGAAGAAGAAGACGGTGAGGCTGGCGGGGGGGGGCAATGTTGGTTAATGGCGTGCAGTCGATATGTCGAGGTTGAGTCGGTGGCTTACGCGATGTTGTACTGTGGACCGGTGAGGCCGAGATCGCTGTTCATGCCTGCGACTTTGGCGTTGCCGACTGTATGGGCGAGCTTTGCGTCAGCGGCGGGCTACGCTGGGAAGATGGAGACAGATACGTACTGTTGCTCCTGTCGATGAACGACAGGACGTACAGAAGGGTCAGCATGGGCAGGAGCCGATAGTCGACTTTGCGGAGAATTCTCTGCGTCTCTTTGGCATCGTATTCAGGAACGTCTGCAGCTTGCTCATCGGATGTACTCGTCTCGATATCCTCGAGGTGGTTGGCATTCTCGTTCTTCATATCAGTGGCCATTTTCCCGGTGGCGTGTGGGAAAGTCGTGGAATATATGTGAAACTTCAGCCAGAACGAGGGACGTCAATGGATATAAAGAGCGGTCGACGAGGTGCCACAACCCGTGCGGGTGATGACGTACTCTCGGGTGTCGAGCGAGATGCGGGGAGGCGTCTTGGCAGATCGGGGATTAGAGTGTGGGGTTGAGAGGTGGGGGTGGCTCTCTCGGATGCTTGTATAACGGTGGCTAGTAGCTTCGACAATGGCTTGGCAAGCTTGGTATATATTGGACACTTTCCCGCATACCATGGGTTTTCCTTCATTCCATCTCTCAACTTTTCACCCAGACAGCATGAGAGGTTGTTCGTTCTTCCTTGGCCCCAAAATCCCCAAAATCCTGCGGCTCGGCCCGGCCCGGGGGGTGCGTCGGCATGAGCAGCGGGTTGGTAGGTATACTACGAACAGCACGTTGACTGCCGCGGCGGAGAGTAGCATGGCCCACGACCACGACAGCTCGGCGATGGCAAAGAGCATGGGCGAGAGAGGGCAGAAGATGCTTGGGAGTTCTCCCGGCCGAGAGAAGCGGGTTGGGCTCTGGGTTGACAAGGGCCCATATAATTACCTTTTTCTGAAGCAACAACCAGGCAGGGGAGTCGGCCAATCAGCTGGTTTTACGTCATGTTCAAGAGCTCCCGTATCAAGGTTTGCAATGCCGTTTGTTTCACTCTCACTTTAATTGAACTTACCGAACCGCAGCACTCTGGAACCGTCCGCCACCACGACCGAATCCACGACCGCCGGCGTGCGGAGACGTGCAGTCCAGGTCCGGAAAGCTCGATCAGACGATGCGGCGGCCATCGCAGCCCTCGGGGCTCACGTCTTCAGCGCCACCTTCGGCCACTCGGTCTCACCCGACGAGCTGCAGGCGTACCTGGACAAGGACTACGCGACGGCGTCCATCGCGGCGGACCTCGAGGACCCGCACAAAGACACGCTGGTCGGCGTCGACGAAAACGACAGGCTGGTCGGCTTCGCACTCCTCACGCGGAACTCGGTCGAGCCGTGCGTCGAGTCGCTCGAGAGCACGGTCGAGCTGCAGCGGATTTACGTCGACACGGCTGCGCATGGGAAGGGGGTGGGCGGTTTGCTGGCGAGGGCGGTGGAGAAGCTGGCGAGGGAGCAGGGGTTTCGCAACATGTGGCTGGGGGTGTGGGAGGAGAATGCTGTGGCGCAGAAGGCGTATGAGAAGTGGGGTTACAAGAAGGTTGGAACGCACGACTTCGTCGTCGGCACGGTGGTGCAGACGGACTGGATCATGGCAAAGGCGCTGTAGAAGTACGTATGACTTATCACTTAGTCATGGAGAGTGGAGTTGGCTGTCTCTTGCCAATCGCATTTCTTGCCGATGTCCCGAATGACTCGATCAGGGGGGCAAGGGATCGACGGACGCGGTAGCGATAGATAGCTAGTGGCCGACAACCGTCCCAACCTTGTTCTGCTCAAGACTTCTTTGCAGCCCCTGCTCCCGCCGACTGCTCCAATCACCCCAACCGTATTTGAATGGCTTCCAGCGCCGACGGCCTCAACGTTGTGGATGTGGCCATACACGTAAACACCGCGGGCAGCGATGGCAATCATGGCGGATTCGCCTCGGGGGACGAGATAACCGGCGAGGTGGTGGTGACCACGCCCGAGGACGTCCACGTGCGGAAGGTGGATGTATTCTTCACCGGTGCGCATAGCCAGACAGCCCCACGTTGCCATGATGCAGCGGCGCTCACACGTCGGCAGGCCGCTCGCAGACCTGCATCGACAGCATCATTGCGCCGGGGCCAGTTTCCACCAAGAAACGCTTTCTTAAGCTGAGACGCCGAGTCAGGACATTCACGAGCAATCCCGACGGCAGCTGGCCCATTCCCTTCAGCTTCCTCGTGCCCCACGCGCTCGATCCAGCCGCGTGCTCATGCGTCTCCTTGCCCGACGACCATCTGCAACTGCCACCCACCATGGGTGGAAACCACAGCTGGGAACACGCCGGCCAGCTCCTCGACGACCCCACCCCCGACATGGTCGACATCTGCTACAAGATCGTCGCAAGGGTCGAGGTCAGCGACAGCCAGGGCCGATGCGCGTGCACAGAAACGCACACCAAGCTCTGCGTCGTGCCGAGCTTCCCCGAGCCGCCACCCTCCTTCTCGAGCGAGTACCGCATCCGCGAGGAGAAGGGCGTCAGGCGAAGCATCTTGACCGGACGCTTGGGCTGCTTGGTCATGGAAGCCCAGACACCAAGCGCCCTCAAAGGCATCAAGTCCGACGGCGCCACCCTCGTCTCGACAAAGGTGCTCGTCCGATTCGACCCTGCGTCCCACGACTGCGCCCCGCCCGCTCCCGAAGACATCATGCGCAAGATCCAGGCCACGTCGACGTGGAAGATCGGGCCCAAGGGGACCTCCAGCAACGGACAGACCACCTACGCCATGACCCGCGCCTACACCGAAGCCATTTCGCTGCCGCCCTTCCACCTCGCCGGCGCAAAGTGGCTGAAGCGGTCTCCGGGCTGGGAGCACATGCAGGTGTCCAACGGCCATGCCGCACCCGCCGACTTGATTGCGCCCTCGTCGGGCTATATCGGCGGCGTCTACTACCTGCTGAAGCTTGCCATCCCCGTCGAGCTCCCGCCCGGCAAGGTGCTCGTACCCACCTTCCACTCTTGTCTGGTCTCACGCACCTACGAGCTCGAGGTTGCGCTCCTGCTCTCCTCCGCCGCCTCTATAACTGTGCGGGTTCCTCTACATATTTGCACATAATACAAGAGTTTGATTCTATATTCTCCGACAGTGCTGACGGCCAGAAATACCCCAGCGTGAAAACAACTTGAGCTTCTTCCAATATTTAAAAATGGGGGTGAGATGATGAAGTGTGAGACAACAATGTTGTGGCAGAAAGACCGTTCCAGAACGTTGTTTTGTCATCAGTTTCTCAACCTCTTTGCGCACCCGACTTACCATCGAGCATTGAGCTGAGTGAGGAAAGTCAATGAGGTCCTTCCTTTCTCCAACTCACGTTTAAAATGCAGATACTTTGTGGCTTAGAAAAGACACCGCTCGACATGCGTCGGGTAGTGTGATTGTGGGCGCCACTTACGAAAAAGGTGTGCTCGTCAGGCAGTGACTGCATACCCACGGGCGGTCAGCATTTTAAACATGAGAGAGCGGTGACGGCCCGCTCCAGCACCGACGGCATGGAAGCTGGTACCAGCTGCACGGTCAGGACTTAGGACGGAGCCACTCCGCTGTTGATGTGGCGTTTCCACCGACTCAGGGGGATGATGATCTGCATACACACGGCCTCCACCCACTACCCCAACAGCTCGATCGAGAGCGGGTGGGGAAGAGTGGATTCAGCCATCATTGACTTGCTTCACTTCGACGCAGAAGATTCGCGACATCCCCCCCCAGGTAAGCTAAAATCAATAGTTGGTCTTTCCCGCTGTCATTGCCTAGCCCGCATGCCCTACGTCATTGAACGGCCCGACTAGTATACACGCCATGATGTTGCGGTCAGCCTTCAGCCTTCAGCCTTCAGCCTTCCGGGCGCGTGCGTCGGACGTGCTGAGATCCGAGATATGATCGTCAACTTTATCTGGCGATTTACGAGCCGATCTGCATGTCAATATAGATCTACACGGGCTCAGCTACAGGCCCAGGCCAACCGCAGATGAGCTTAGCCCTGTAGGGGGAGCCTATCAGATGCACGCATTGGCCTGCCCAGCCAGCCGGACACCACGCTACACATAAACGACGTGCTTGTGAATACCCACCGTAGAGGATCTACGCACTTCAGCACCGGATGCAGGGGAAAAGGACGCCATGTCTCCTGCTGATCCCACCCGCCACTACCTTTGTGACGTCCAAAGCCAAGGAGGAAGTCGACGACACACAGGTATAAGAAGAAGCTCCCAGAGAGCAGCAACAGAACCAACATCACCGCTCACCACCACAACCGTCCACTCCAACCGTCAACCCGCCCTCTTCCCAACCCTCAAAATGCACTTCTTCGCCAAGATCGTCACCGCCCTGCCTGCCGTCGCTGGCCTGGCCTCGGCCGCCGTGATGCGCCGCGCAGTCAGCGCCGACACCATGGTCGCGGGCATCCAGGACCTCACCGAGCGTTCCGACGCCGTGACCCCTCTGGTCGCCAAGCTCAGCCCGCAGGACCAGGTCCCCTACACCGCAAACTACCAGGCCGTCATCAGCAGCCTCAGCGACCTCATCACTGCCACCGGTTCTGACGCTGCTCAATTCGCCGAGACCCAGCCCTTCGCCGACGAGGCGGCTCAGCAAGCCGTCTGCGACGCTTTCTACACTGTAAGCTGCCCACCGAGCGATCGCTTTTCTTTTCTGATCTTTGTTTTTGTTTGATCTTGCTTGCTGAAAACTTGGCACCGCAGTTCGTCCAGGTCCAGGAGAAGATGTTGAACGCCCTCATCGGCAAGTCGTATCTCGCCGACACCCCGTCCGGCTATCCTCTGGCTGCGACTCTAAGGACTCTCGAGGGGGCTGATGATGTAAGTCTCTTCTCTCTCTCTCTCTCTCTCTCTCTCTCTCTCTCTCTCTACATTTGAACAGGGATTTTCTAACGGAGAACAGACGATGGCGTTCTCAGTCCTTGACGCGGTTCCCAGCTGCGTCGATGCCGCGACCGAGAACAAGAACAGCCTCGATGCCAAGCTGGCAAAGGCGGTGTGCGCGTACAGTCCCAACGGGGAGTGCTAGATGGACGAGGCTGAAGAGGGGAGTCGAGTGTGATACTGCAGGCGCGGACGAGGCTGAGAGCTGGCGGAGCATGCACTTGTTCGCAGGAACCGCCGGCGGGTTTATTACGGCATTTGTGTGTGCATGGTTGCGAGGACCGGGTTGCTGGCATGCGTAATGACAGAGCGGTATGTGATAAAGTAATGTGTTTATCAGAGGGTTAGAAGCTGAACGAGGGCTGAGTGGCTTAATGATTATTAATTGCAACATCCCCATCCTGATTACGCTGCGCAGTACCATAATTTGTCTATGTCCATGGGCAAAATGTCCACTTGTGATTGGCGTCTTGACTGGGACTGGATTGACGTTGGGATAGTAGACTACAACATTAACCACTCCGCGGGGAAAAGCTCTTCCGCATCAAATCGCAACTTTTTTCAATGGTGGTATTGCGATGTACATACCAGTAGATTGCTCGGCAAAACGGGCCCCGTGGGGCAGAGGAACTTTCCGGAAAGCTATATGTAATAGGTGGACGGTACTCAAGTCCAATGAGTGTTTCACAGCAAGAGAACTCGTTGCGAAAAGGCCCACATTGGCGCGACGCCATCCACTCAACAGCAAGCGCGATAAGAGAGTCTAGTTGGTCTCCAGCGCTAGACAAGGCTGAAGGAATTGGTTCTGCGAGCCAGATACGGGGTTTCAAAGCATGCGCGGAGTAGAAGATAAGTGGGGTCTAACTATCGGACGCAATGTCCATTTTAATCTTACGTGCATATCAACCCCACCTGTTTACTCTGTATTCAAGGCCAACGCCCGACTTGTTGGTGACGCAAAAAGAATTATTGCTTCCGTATCGGCATTGGCTGCGAAGATCGGAGTTGTCGTCAGCGTAGCCCTGAGACATTGGGGCTGAAATTGACCTGGTAACTGCTGCCTGGTCGGCTTCTCGGCCACAGCCTTGTGACGGACCTTCCTTTAATGGCGATTATCGGATCAGTCACATCTCTGAGCCTCGCTCTCCACCAATCGGTTTTCGTGAATCCAAGCAAGCTGTAACCGCCGGAACTCGCTCAACAACGCAGCCTTGCACCGCACCATCCGACCGCTGCCGTGATCCTCCAATAGACAGGTGATCGGCTCGTTTTCTTACAGACAAGATCAAATAACATATAAACCAAGGTGCCTGATTTCAAAGGCTGTGCATGACTCTCAACTTGATCTCTCCCAAATCTTCACCGAAATGCTCCTGATACCCGATTGCGAGAATTGCTACAACAGGATGAAGTCTTTGTTCAATCTAAAAAACTCGGGTAAAAGAAAACATCCACGTAAGCAACCTTCTCTCCCAAGGCCTTGCTTCGACTGACTTTTCGAAGCATCACCACCCGCACCATCTGCGCAAGCTTGCAGCGTCTCCAATCCACCTGACATACGGCCTCAGCGACGTGATACACGTGAGCATCATTCTCTCCCAAGGCCTTACTTCGACTGACCTTCGAAGCATCGCCATCCACATCATCTCCGCAGGCTTTCAGCCTCCCCGATCGACCTGAGATAACGGCTCAGCGAAATGGTTCCCCTCAGTCCAACTTGTCGGGTCAAACCAGTTCACCACAGCGACCAAGCCTGTTAGATCAAATCACAGAGAACCTGGAGATGAGCGAATTCGATAAAAAGAGGTTCTTGCCGCTGGACTGCCTCGCACGCATTGTTTGCAGGCAAAACATCCAGCCAGCACTGCCGGGAGCAGAAGAGGAACTACTCAACTTCATAACCCAGGACGCAGCCAAGGTTTTTGCCACAGTGCTCCGAGCAACCAAAAAGTCCGGCAACAAACTTGTAGCGATCATGAGGAAATTCCACACAAACAACTTCCACGACGACCTTCTGCCTCATGGAAACGATCCTCAATGCACGTATGCTGGGAAGAGCAAATGTAACCATCACAAAGTCTTCGATGCACTCCATGACAAGATACACTGGGATGTTACCTCCGTTCAGGACTTTTTCGATATGAGATGGATTTTTCTGGCACCTGAATTCAAGGAATCTACTTTCCGTCATGATCTTGCACCCAACAGCATCTTACCCTTTGTGAGGGTCGAGGAAGATGCTGCCAAAAATCTTGTCGGAGGCTTCAGCAGAGTGCAAAAAGCCGTGATACACAAGAGCCATCAGACAATTCTCCCGACAGTAAGTTCACCTTTGAATTTCCGTGGTATTCATGCTGAGCAAAGGCTTTCTCAGACTGGAACCGGACTTACTGTTGCTATCAAAGAGTTGCAGCCATCCATGGACACCGACTATCCAGATCCCAAGACGGCATGGGAACTGGAGCTGCATGCGCTTGATGGCACCAGGTCCGGCAGACACACGCATGAACATTTGACAAGCGCCATTGCAGCGTTCCAAAAGAATGGCAGATACTACCTTGTCTTCGAATGGGCAGACGGAGGCAGCCTTCAACAGTTCTGGGAAAAAAACGAAAAGCCGGACCTCAGTGCAGACCTCGTCCAGGATGTCCTTGAACAGCTGCATGGCCTCTCCGGTGCACTATTATGCCTGCATGGCGGCAACCCCAGAGCCATCGACCGCAGGACCTCCAATCCCGAGGCCAATGCCCTCGGAGCGGAAGACGACAATGACGGCGATTTCAATACCATCGACGACCGGGCAATTGATTTCAGGGCCGACGAAGCTGGCCATTGGCGCCATGGAGACTTGAAGCCTGCCAACATTCTGAGGTTCAGATGTCCCGACTCGAACAACCCGAAGCCACTGGGAACGCTTCAGATTGCCGATCTTGGACTGGCGAGACGTCACACGGCGCAAACACGAGACCGAGTAGGACCGACGAGCATGAAATACGGGACCGTGAAGTACGAAGGTCCCGAAGCCCACCCCATGAACGCCAAATCGAAACCCCGGACCCGACTTTACGATGTATGGTCAATGGGATGCATCACCTTGGAGTTCATCATCTGGCTTCTTCACGGCGACCGTGGCTTGCAAGAGTTTGATCGCCAGACACTCGATGCAAACCGCATCGACGACAGCATGCATCAAGATTTGATTGGGACAAACTTTTACCTGTTCAAGGGAGGCAACCGATTTGAGGTGAACGACATCGCAACATACTGGATGGCCAAGATTCAAGAAAAAGATCCCGAGTGCGAAAGCGGCAAGAACAGTGCTCTCAATGACTTGCTCACCCTTGTCAGAACGAAGCTGCTTGTCATCGAGACCAACACAAAAGACAGTGGCAACGGAGCCAGGACTGATCCATGTCGCGCAACTGCATCCGAGCTTGAGCAAGAGCTGCGGGAAATGAAGAAGAAGGGTGAGAATGATCGCGGGTACCTGTTTACGGGAAGCAAACGAGACAAAGTCGTGATTCCGAGCAAGCCGAGATCGCCTTTCCAGACCTTCCTAACGGTACCTGGGCATGGACTGGGTATACAAGGGCATCAAGTCACGTCTCAAGATTCTGCTTCTTACGAAGAGAAACGCATTGAACTTCCAGCCCAACCTTTGGATACCCAATATACCCATGTACGTAACGATGCTTGACCATAGCCGCGTTACCTGCCATTCCAGCCCCCCGTAACCTGCTTTTGAGTATTCAATCCTAATATTTACTTACGTCTACCCAGACCCTGAATGATACTTGGACGTTTATCGTTGATAATGATTTTGCACTGGATGCATTCCGCGGAACCAACTTCGCTGGGACTGTCCCATCTCCATCAGTCACCAAAATCCTCTGCAAGCGTTGTCAAGACTTGAGGTTTTCGCAACCTGACTTTGGACTGGAGGACGACGTGACCAAGCTTTCCGAGAAGGCCCAAGGCTGCAACATCTGCCGCCTCTTTTACCGGGCTTGCATCGATCTGGGAATCACCGGACAAATTCAACTGTACCGCGATGGATCTACGATCCGGAAGACAGGTCTCGGTCGTCCCGTCCTATCAATATGTAGAAGCCCAAACATTGCGGGCGGCTTGGAGGATCTCCAGATTGGCTTCCCAACCCTGCCGGAAGGAGGCGAAACACGTTTTCGAGTCCTTCGTCAATGGCTCGAACACTGCAATGGCCAACACGATTGCCATTCAAACGCGCCAGGCACCTTGCCGAAAAGAGTCATTGACGTGAGGCCAGACAATGACGCAGACTCTGTGCGCCTATGCGAGACGAAAAGTCAAAATGGAGAGTACGTTGCGTTATCTCACCGTTGGGGCATGAAAGTCAGAAATCCTCCATTCGCTACAACCAAGGAAAACATTCGTGAACGTCTGGAGCGGAATTACGAGATGGCTGCTCTTCCACGAACGTTTCAAGATGCTGTGACAGTCACCAGAGCACTGGGAATCCGGTATCTATGGATCGACTCGATATGCATCATCCAAGGCCCTGATGGCGACTGGGATGAACAGGCGAAGTGCATGGAGGATGTATTCAGCTCTGCATCCTGTGTGGTTGCCGCAACAAGAGCATCAGGAACGGCAGATGGCTTTCTGAAACCTCCACGTCCGCGAGACTTTGTGACGGTGTCGGATGGCTCAGCAAACTGTCTTTATGTCTGCGAGGCAATCGATGACTTTGACGGCCACGTCACGGAAGCAGAGCTCAACACACGGGGCTGGGTATTCCAAGAGAGAGCCCTGGCGCGGAGAACAATCCACTTTGCGAAGGAGCAGACCTACTGGGAGTGCGGCCACGGCATTCGTTGTGAAAGCCTCACAAAAATGGCAAAGTAAGTCCTCATGCACCATCGTCCGTCCATATAGCTAGCTTACAAGCGCATAGCAGCAAAGCAGCACTGCTGGGCGACTCCGACTTCCCCAACGTCGCGAGGAACCAATCGAAGGGCGGCATCATCGTCTTTTTCGAGACTTTCTACAAGCAATACTCGCGGCTTGCCCTGTCGGTAAGCACAGATCGGCCCGTTGCTATCGCTGGATTGGAGATCAGGCTGATCCGGGCTCTCGGAGTCCATGGCGGATACGGAATCTTCGACAGTCACAGACCCGGCCTTGAAGGTTTCTTAGGACGAAGTCTGCTGTGGATGCGCGGTTCGGATGTGCAATCCATGGTCAAGATCAACTTCGGGCCAGACGACAACGTGCCTTCATGGTCTTGGATGGCGTATGAGGGAGGGATCGACTACCTGGACGTTCCTTTCAACGAGGTTGCCTGGGACAAGGACCAAATCAAATCGCCTTGGGACCGGAAGCTCTCTCAGCAATCTTCGTGGCACACGGCTGATCGAGGAGCCAGCTCCAAGCTCACGGCTAGAGCACGCGGGTTCTCAGACTCAGCAGATGACAGCATCATCTACGATCGAGGAGGTCGACCGGTGGGGCAAGAATTAAAGTGTGTTGTGATCGGAAGGTCTAAGCTTGAGGAGCCAAGTGGCCGACGGACGCATTATGTGTTGATCATCGGAAAGCGGAGGAGACATGATTGGGAGCGTGTTGGTGTTGGAAAGTTAATGGGGAAAGACATAGCCGTTGAGGACAGCGGGTCACTTGTTTCAATTTCTTGAAATGTACGTATGACTTCAACCCTACTATTGTTTTCTGAGATTCAATCTGAGTTGGAGACATGTATTCAATTTCTTGATGGGGAACTCATGAAATACAACAGCAAGAGCGAATAGATGGCGGCAGTATCGGTGTTGAAAGTAGTACACCTCGTCCAACGGTCCGCCGATCTCCTCGTATTTGAAGTTCTCGTGTTGCATGCAGCATTTTAGCCGCGACTACACTAGCCAACAAACAAGTACGGTGTAGCCATGGCGACTTGGCGTAAACGTCATCGTGCTGAAGGTTTCTACATATAAAGAAGTGCACTTTTGACTTTTTTTCCCCACCATCTCAACTTGACATCAACGAAATATCCACCATGCAGTTCAAGGGCACCATCTTCAACGCTGCACTGCTCGGCGCCTCTTGCGTGATGGCGCAGTCGACGCCCGATCCAAACGTCGACGTGTCTGTCTTCGAGCTTCGCGCCTTCTCCAACGAAACCGCCATCGACGGCAAGTCCATTGTGGCCAAGAACGGCTTCCTCGCCGTCGGCACCACTTCCGATGCCAACTGCACGGGCGACAATGCGGACTACGACTCGACAACCTACACACAGTTCCTTATCGGACTGACAACCTACAACCCTGACGGCGATGCTCAGATCAGTACGTGACCCAATCATCAGCTCCGAGTAGACATGCTCGTACAAACACACACTCCTCACCCCAGCCCACATATCCCCCAATTGACGCCAAAAACTCGGGCAGTATTCGTCGGCACCAACGGCCAAAACCTGCAAGTCGCGCAGCCGGGCCAAGCGCCGGCCGAGCCGCAGGTGCCCACCGGTTTCCGACAGATCGTCCACTGGAACGACAAGCTGCTGCAGTTCCGGGGCGCGGGCTTCCAAGCGTGTCCGCGGTCGAACTTTGACGAGTGGATAGTCTCGGTGCAGCCGGGCGCGTTGCCCACTGTGCCGGAGTGCAACATCTTTGATGTGGTGATCGTGCCGAAGGACGGGGCGACGGCCCCGAGTTGCGTGTATAATTGATTGCTACAAGGACAAGGGTAGTGGGGTGCTTTGAATGTGAAGATAGCGAATGAAAGGTGTGCTGATTTGCATTACATGTGGTTTTCTGGTTTGAGCATTTAGTACCAGCGTTGACTTGTCAATGTAAGTATCGGCGTCGGGTTGGGGCTTTGTGGAAGGTCTTATGGCAAATATAGATGAGTAACACCAACACTACGAGATACAATCAACTACTAACCAGCGTCGAGTACGAAGCAAACGAAACGAATTAACAACTCCTTCACAGCTTCGACATCATAAAGGGGAAGCACCGATCATTCACTGCCATGGCCAGCGCCGCAAAGTCGGTTCCATCCAAGTAATCCACATAGACAACATTCGGTATGTTCCGGCCATGGCAATGCGGCAGACACTCCAAAAACAGCGCCTTGTTCGCCGAGTACGCCAGCGTCTTCACGCACTTGGTCGACTCGGACCCGTTCCACACAAACTCCCAGTCGTTGGAAAACGACAGGTTCGCCGTCTGCGGCGTCAGCGTCCACGACAAGAGGAACAGCCGCGGGTCCGACGCCGAGTCGAGCGTGTCCAGCTTCTGCAGCTGCTCGCGCGTCATGGCCGCGCAGTCGTCGCGGTCCGAGTTGAGCCTGTTGACGCCGACCTCGGCCGCGGTGAAGAAGCCCTGGTGCTGATACCCGCCCAGCGCCACGCCCCCGTCCTCGACCACGATGATGACGGCTGCCCGACCCGGCCCGATGAAGTGATGCAGCGGCTGCTTGGTGAGGCCGGCCGCCTCGCTCGCCACGGGCACGACGAAGCGGTCGTGGACGCGGCCGAACTCCTCGAGCACTCGGTTCCACTCCCCCTGGTCGAGCGGCCGGTAGTTGGTCGCGCCCACGTCCGTGTTGATGGCGTGCGAGAGGTTGACGATGACGAGCTCCTTGCTCACCGCGGTGAAGCGGTTGATGTCGTCGACGATGGACCGGAGGCTCTGGCCGCGGTCCCCGATCCAGAGCGAGTCCAGCCCCTTCACCTGGTTGTAGTGGCCCGTCCAGAGCGCGCCGCCGCCGATGACGGGCCGGATGTCTAGGTAGCGCGACCCGTCGAGGAGCTGCTTGTGCACCGGGCTGGATTGGCACAGAAGCATGGGGGCGATGACGGACTCGGGCCGCTGGTCGAGCGTGGATATGCCTGCGTTGCGGGTGCCCGGGATGCAGAGCTGCGACAGAGGCCGGTTTCCGAGCTTCCGGAGGTTTTGTTGCATCCAGTCGATGGGGCCGCTGTTGGAGGAGAAGTAGCCTTCGGTGCCCGACAGGATGAAGCGCACTGTCGCGTCGTGCTCCCAGCCAAGGTCGAACTCGTTCCCGATGGGGTGGCCGGGAGTTGAGAAGCCGTTCAAGGTCACGCGGATGGCCGACGGTGCGTCAGTGACCATAATCTGAAAGGAACATCCTCTTGTGCCCTCGAGGTGGTAGATGCGCCGCAGTTGGGTTTCGCTCTTGTTGACGAACCAACCCTGATCGAGTTGGAGATAGATTTCGGCAGTTTGACCTTGTCCTCGTTAATCATAGTGCTAAAGAAACGGGCACCTGTCTCACCTGGCGGCAAATGTTCCGGGAAGTTCCATGCAATCACTTGCTTGGTGTTCATGGCATTGGGGTCCAGCCTCCATGTGTACTGCGTCCCATTGACCAACGTAAAGTAACCACCTTGACCCATCTTGGCAGTATAGATGCTGAAAATTTCGTAGTGTTCGGTATACTGCAGCTCCAGCAGTTGAAAGGTGGGAAATAACACTGCTCTTCTTAAGTGTCATCACTTCGCGCTTTTGGAATGTGCCCGGGAGATTCCAAAAATGGAATGCAGAAGAACGGCCGTTGAGAATGAACAAACCCTGCAACGCAGTCGCGGGAATGTCACCTCGTCCTTTGACTTTCTGCGTAAATGCTGTTTTGTAACTGGCTCTTGTGCGGTTGCGGGGACGAAATTCCTCCATGCATCCTCGTGGAAACGTGTGTCAGTTCCCCGGGTAACAAGAAGCGTCCGTGGTATACCATGCGCAGAATGCACATAATTCAACGTCAGTGATGCCAATCCAATCTAAACCTTTAGCTTGGTATGTAACGGAGCCAATTGATGAAGCCGTGGCAACGTTGATCAGATGAACACAAAAGGCGCATGTAGATGGAAGCAAATGTCTCAAGTAGCGATGAAGAGTATACGAAACCATCTATATGAAGAGTATACGAAACCGTCTATATGAAGAGTATACGAAACCGTCCATCTACATGCGCAACAGTCACCTCGACAACCGAAAAAAAAAAGGAAAATAATTTACAATCCACCTCCAGGCTCCAACCACCACCCCAACACCCACTCCACCTACCCCATCGCGCCCACACCGCCCGCCTGCCCGCCCCCCTCACCCCGCACAATACCCACTCCTCGCCCTCAACCAGGCGCCGCGCTTCCAAAACCCCCACCCCACCGCCACCCCCACCACCGCGCTCACCCCCGCCAGCACCCCATTCCCGACCCCCAGCCCCAAGCCGTCATACAGCCGCGGCGCGAACAGCGGGAAGCTGAAGCCGGCCATGGTGCGCAGGAACGCGGCCGCGCCCGTCGCGCTCGCCGCGTACGTCGTGTACGCGTCGACGACGTACGCCTGCGCGCACTGGAACGCCATGATCAGCCCGCACGCGAAGATGGCTGCGCCCACGTTCGGCACCAGGAAGTGCACTGCCGGGTCAGTCGACGCCGCCCACCCGTACAGCGCGAGCCCGACGGGCGTGAGGATGGTGGACGGGAGGATCAGCGGGATGCGGTATTCCGGGACGCCGGTTGACACGTTGTGCTTGCGTTTGAGGTAGATGTAGATCTAGTAGGGGGAGGGGGGGAGATGTGATTAGTTTGGGGAGGCAAGGAGCGGGAGGGAGGCGGAACGTACTCGGTCGTTTAGGGGCGCGCAGATCTGCAGGCCGATGACGAAGCCGATTCCCAGGGAGAGGTAGTTGAGGGAGGACATGGTGAGGGACATGTCGTATTGGTCTTCGAAGACGAGGGCGAATGTGGATAGGCTGCGGATGGATGAAGACTGTTAGGGTCGTGAATCAAGGATGGTGGGTTACAGCACTGACACCAGATACATGACGCCGTAGAGATATGCGCGGTACAGGGCCATGATTTGGATGACGGGCTGGGTGCCCAACATGATGAACGGACGGACGAGGTTCGTGCGGAGTATTTTGGCCAAGCTGTGGTCTGGGTTTTGCCATTTGGTCCGGAGGCTTTGGTCGCCAGTGGATTTACGGAGTTTGTCTACTTTCTTTGCCAGGATCGCGGGCGCATACGTCTCCCGCAGCCAGGCTGTGGCCATTATTTGAATGATGAAATCGGCAATTGAGACGGACCAGAAGACCCATCTCTATGATACTGGTCAGTGGCATTGTCTTTGTATCGGAGGATGAGGGCGCTCACCCAGGTCGTGTGCTCAGTCACCAAACCACCCACTGAGCACGGTATAAGTCAGTTTCCGGCATCTATTACTTGTACGCAGGGGGTTTCCTTACCAATGGGACCCACTGCCGGCCCAATGAATGGCGCAAGACTGTACATGGCAACGGCTTTGCCCCGTTCTTCAGCCCTCCAGCAGTCGCTTAGTACGCCACCTCCCAACTACCATGGGTCAACATCCGCTTTTTCGGCTGGAGCTGGAGACTTACTGCTTGCGGAGCGCTGCCACCAAGACCACTCAAAAACCGGAATGCAAGCATCTGTTGTTTCGTTTGAGCGAATCCACAAGCTGTATTGAAGACCAGGAAGAGCAGGTTCGAGGTTTGCAGGATAACAACGCGACCGAAGATCTCGGAAAGCGGGCCGAGAACGAACGGGCCTAGGGCAAATGCCAGAAGGAAGATTGACATGACAAAGGCTTGTTCGACCTCTGACTCGATGTCGAATTGGTCGCCAATGACTTCCAGCGAGGGGGCAATCATGGTCGAGGAGAAAGGTGAGATGAAGGTGAAGCAAGACACAAGTAGTGTTGCCGTCCATTTTTTTCTCTTGGTCCAATTGAGCGGGTTCATCGGGTCCTGCTCATCCTCCCATGTGATCTTGCGTATACAGTCAGGTGGTTGTCCAGCATCTTCCACAAGGGCAACTCACGATGTTGGGGTCGTCCTTTTCCCCGTCATTTCTCACTGGAGTGAGAGCGTCACGGGACGTCCTCCCTTCTTCTACATCTCGATTGGGCAGTTGGGCGATTTCGAGGTCGGATGTAGGGCTTGCAGGATCCGCATGGGCAAAAGACCGGTATGACGAAACATCTTCCCACCACCGTTGCTCACGTTGGCTCATCAGCGGGGAAAAATGTAGACTGGGCAGCCGATGTAGCGAAGAATGGTCGGTGGCTTCTGGGCGAGAAGATCTGCCGAACAAAGACTTGAGGCGATTCGACATGACGAGTAGCGCGGAAAGGCGGAACAGACAAGAACGAGTGACGGATGCAGACAGCGAGAGACGATGATACTATCACGAAGTCACCACTGCGGCCGTAGACAGAAGGCTTTTATGTACTCCTGTACCTGAGGTCTGACGGGCAATTGCGGTGTGTCGTGTGCGCCTCGACCGACATGGGAGTAGTGGGCAGTGAAGGGCAAAAATAGCAGCATGTACAGCCTCGCGAGCTGCGGCTCAGAGTTTGGTCTTGGAGGCCCGGCAGATGTCGGAAGACACTGGGAAGGCTTGGTGTCAGTGCTTGGCAAAGAGCGTGGCAATCGGGGTTCGGCCTATCAAAAACGTGCCGATGGCCAAGATCAAGCTTGGTGTTTTTTGCTGGGATCATCGCCGGGTTGACAGATGCCCCTCGCCTCTGTTCTGCCTTGCGCCGCAAGGCTGACTTCCGGTCGACTGGTTCTTCCCTGGTCCGGAAGGACGATAAGCGGTACGCGACGCATTTACGAGCGGATGACGACGATGGGCTCAGGTGAACATAGGTGTTCGGCTTCCGGCACGTGATCAGCGGTCGGTTTGCCGTACACGTCGGCGGAGTTGCTGCGAGTGTAGCCAATGGTGTTGCACTTGATAATTCAAGTGCTCCGCTGGCGTTGATATCGTATAGGGTGGAGACCTTATACCGGTGGGACACAACGAAGCAGTGAGTAATGACGCAAACGAGCGACCACCGGCGTCCGGCACTGTGCCGTCATAGCTCGCGTGCGGTGTGTGCTGTTTACGCGTCAGTCGACTGCGGAGAGCCACCCGGCCTGCCGTGTCGCGTGTGCATTCGAGGTGTTTGATTGGACGATGGCTGTGCAGGGAGTGGCTGTGTAAAGTGGTCATCGCCCTGGACAGCTGGACAGCTTGCGGCCGCACTAGCCTTTCTGCGGGGTCCCGGAAACTAACCGTAACGGGCTTACGGGTAGCTACGTCGGGCTAGTGGGGTCTGCTGTGTTCCATGATCTCTTCTAAACATATCGCGCCAGGAACCACAGCCCCGCCAGCCTGCAAGGCCACTGGACCAGACCCGTTAACCATCTCAAAATCCAAGGAAGTCCAAGAGCAAACATCATTCGACTCATCATCTGGCCCCCAGAACGCGTAAGAGCCTTGGAGGTGTTCTGCGATGTGCCGGGCGTTCCGACACAGTGGAAGCTGTGTTGATTGGTAGGGGCTAAGTCATCCATGGAAAAAAAACACCCCATCGTTGGCAAAAAGTCACAAGTCGTGTCGAATATGCCAGGCACAGCCTCCACCTTCTAGGTGCCTGTCCGGCTGTGAAGCCATGTTCAGGAAGTCGAATGTCGCGGTGGGAAAGCTGTATGCTCGCCGGCAGAAAGCTGCATTGGTATCGAGCAAAGGGAGATGCCCAAATTAGACATAAAGATAGCACGGTGCGCGCCTTGGAGGAATATAAAGCAGTGAAAGTTCCAGTTGAAGAAGTTGTCCATCAGTAGATTTCCACATTCGCTTTCATCAACCTCCAGCAGAATCAAAGCACTTGATTACTTATCCTCCGTTTCTCACTCCCCAAAATGTATAGACGCTCTTCCCAGCCAGCCAAGACCGCCGCTTCGAACACGGCCTCTCTCACCCCAATCAATGTTCTCGTCGCGCCCTCCGGCTTCAAGGGCAGTCTGAGCCCTTCGACCGTCGCCGATTGTATCACAGAGGGAATTCATCACGCACTTCCGACGGCCAACGTGCGCAAAGTGCCCCTCGTCGACGGTGGCGAGGGGTTCGCACGTGCCTTGGTGTCAGCAACCAACGGTACACTACACCATCTCACCGTCACCGGTCCCCTCGGCCTACCCGTGCAGTCGCACTTCGGCATCCTCGGAGACGGTCACCACTGCAACGGCAAAGCCAACGGCACAAACACCAATGGCCGGCTCTTGCGCCTGCCCTGGCCAACGCCGACGGACAAGGAGTCCACCACCACCACGACCCCACCCCCCAAAACCGCCGTCATCGAAATGGCCGCCGCCGCCGGCCTCGCCCTCACCCCCACCCCCACCACCCACGACCCCACCGCCACCACCACCTTCGGCGTCGGCCAGCTCCTCCTCGCCGCCCTCGACGCCGGCGCCTCCCGCATCCTCCTCGGCTGCGGCGACTCGGCCACCTCCGACGCCGGCGCCGGCATGCTGCAAGCCCTCGGCGCGCGCCTGCTCGACGCCCACGGCGCCCCGCTGCCCCGCGCTTCCGGCGGCGCCGCCCTCGCCGCCCTCGCCGACGTCGACCTGCGGGGCCTCGACCCCCGCCTGCGCCGCACCGCCATCGAGGTGCCCTGCAACTGGCGCAACGTCCTGTGCGGCCCGCACGGCGTGGCCAGGGTGTATGGGCCCCAGAAGGGCGCGAGCGAGGCGCAGGTCGAGATGCTGGCTGCGGCGTTGGAGCGGTTTGCGAGCGTCGTCGAGACCCGCCTGGGGTGTGCGGTTGCGAGTGTGCCTGGGGGTGGCGCGAGTGGGGGCTTGGGCGCGGGGCTGCTCGTCTTGGGCGCGACGTTGAGGCCGAGGTATGAGGCTGTCATGGAGTACTTTGGCATCGGGGACGGGGAGCTGTTCGACGGATGTGATCTGGTGTTTACGGCGGAAGGTGGGATCGACGAGCAGACGACGAGGGGAAAGGTGCCGGCCGAGGTTGCGGTGCGGGCGAAAGGGAGCGGTATCCCCGTCATCGTCCTGGCGGGGACGGTCGGGGACGGGGCCGAGGTGTGCTATCGGGCGGGCATTGATGCTTACGCTTCGATCTTGAGTGGCCCGGCTTCTCTGGAGGAGGCTATTGAGAGGGCCGAGGAGCTGCTGGTTGATGCGGCCGAGGCCGCGATGAGGATGGTTATGGTGGGTATGGCGATGAAAGGGTGATTGGGGGTGTCTGCTTCTTTTACACGAGTGGTGACGGAGCTGGAGCGGGACAACTGATAGATGATGCTTTGTAGGGTCCAGTAGCTTTCCGTTTTCAAGTACCTCTAGATATCTTTCGAGAAATTTCCTTGTGCGCGAGGCAGTCGATGGTATAATCATAGTAGCTTCTAAATTGAACAGCAACAATGATTTATCATTCTAGCTCAGGAGGCCGCCCCAGACGAAGTGTTAATGTAGTTGTACAAAACTAAAAATAGTCCCAGACCTAGGCTTGGGTTTCGCCCCGTACCACAGGAGCATGATCCCGACTTACTCTTGGTCCTCCCATCGTGCTCGTTTGTTGGCTTCCTGCCTTCCACATCTACTGAGGTACGTTTATCCGCACGGACTGTCTGCCCCTCCGGTCCCTTATCCCCTACGGGTTTTTTGTCACGTGGTTGCCGTGCCTCCTTCCTTGGTCCTTGTAGGATTGTTTCCCGTGCAGATTCAGGCTGTTGTCAAAGGTTGTTCTCGTACGCGCCGGGTTCCTGTGTTCCAAGATTCCCGTGCGGATTCTTGCCCGCGTGGTCCTCGCGCGTGTGAGGCTCCTTGGGCCTTGCGGTGCTTTCTCCCGTGCAGACTTTCAGCCCTTGGGGTCTTAAAGCCCTTGTGCCCTGGGGTTTGTAACATGCGGTGGAGAGGGCGGAAGGCGCGGAAAGGCTAGGATGGTTGAGGTATGAAACCCTCATTAAGCGGATTCAAGGGTTGGATGGAATGGAATTTATATTGGGTAGGATTCACATTCGGGAAACATGTACTACTACTATAATTAGGCCGAGAAAAATGGCCGTGTAACAAGTTGATATTGGTGGTGTAAACCTCTATTGTTTGGGTGCGGCTGAGGTTAGGTATTGTGTTACTAGCTAGCGGAAAGCCGTTCGCAGAATGCGCGGCTTGGCGTTGTTAACAACAATATTATTATAGCCAGTCTTCTTAGCCTAACATGTCGGCAGGAATAACTCGCCCACGGCTTGGCTAGAACGGGAAGGATCTCGCACTTAATTAGCTAGAGACATATCTAATAATCCTCGAGTGGCAACAGTTCAGTATTGGTTCGCGAAGCCCGACTTACACGACAATTACCACTACGGAAGTAGAGTAAACGCCACACCAAACTTTGGCTGGCCCTCTCCGCTATAAAATTTGTACGACTGCCCTTCGAATCTAGAAAGCACCGTCCACAAAGTTAAGGCTTACCCAACGACCTCCCAAGCCCCAGATTCGAGTCAGTTGAGACATTAAAAAGCTTATTCGTCTTCTCTCTATCAATAAGATGCTAGCCTAACGAGAACATGTAGAGCCTACAACTTATCAGTCGCAGACATGTCCTGCCAAATGGAGATGCAAAGGCTGACGCTACCGGAAACTAATTCGAGTCATCAACCCGAATCACCTTCAACGTCAAAGTTACACCAGATTACACTTCTACCGAAGTTTCTTTTCAAAAACCCCTCCATTATTCTTGCTTTTGTTGGGGGACTGCTGTGCAATCTTGGTTGCTTTGTATTCACCCTATGGCTTAGCGGAAAGAAGTTCAGCTGTCCGGCTTGGGCCATTAGGTGCGAGGTCGACCCCAAGGTTAAGTGGATAGCCTTACACTACGGCCTCGTTCAGGGTATCGTTTCGGCGATATCTGGGATAGGACTTGCTGCGATGGGCTACGCTGCCCTCCAGCTTGGCCAGACTACCCTGTGGCCGATCCTTCACAAGCAGTGGCTGACCCTAGCCGAACTGGACACGCATGTTTTGGCGAGTAGTGGCTCAATTCCTTCACTTGTTAGAGCCCTTGCATCTGTTCGCAGTGCAGAAGCTTTCACAACCATCCTGCTAGTAGCTATCGTTGTGGCAAGCCAACAAGCCAACGCCGTCGTCATTGGTCTGGTTTTCACGAAAGCCGATGTCACCACCGTATTTTACAGCAGCCAGCCTGTCGGTAGTGGTATCGGCTTTACGTTCTCCCAAAGGAATCCTCCTGGGCCTATTCCGGTCCCTGTGACAGCTGCGAGTACACTCTATACTTCCTGGTCTAACGGCTACTCCGAAGAACCACTCCATGAGTTTCGGGACTACCTCTTTGACCGCAAGGCCTTTGCGAGCTTGACCAACTTTTCCATAACTACTGTCAAGGCTCAGAAGAACATTTCTTGCAACGGCTTCCATCTGAACATAAAGGACGACCCGAAAAAGCACATCAAGTATTTGCATGTGCAGACCCACCGTAACGACTCGGAATGGATCAAAATACTGACAGAACAACGCACAACGCTTTGGGTGGACAAAATCGAGTATATGGACGAGACACGGACCATCTCGACTCTTGTCTTCGCGGCCATTGACGGCAACATCGAAAATGGTGTAAATACAACAGCACCAGAGTGGATGCGGAACGCCGGGGAAAAGAGTATCAACACAATCTCGGCGGTAGCATGCGCCGTCGACATCACGCTCGTCGACAACCAGCACGTTGGCGTTGACTGGAAAGATTCTCAGCCGGCCAACGTCTCAAGCTTCGCCACTATTGCTGGACCAACTAGTTCCAAGCATCATTCTCGTCATGGCGAGGTAGCCGCGTGGTTGGGTGTCGCCATCACATCCTTTGGCGTCAACGTCCGTGGAGCTCAGCCAATGTTCGAGATGTCCGACGGTAACGATACATCGCTTCCCACGGCCTGGAATACAGTTGTGACGCACGTCAGGGGCAGTGGAAATAAATGGACTATTTCCCAAATCAAAAACTTCATCGAGGTTGGTTCAGGTGCTTTGGGAATGTCCCTTGGCCGCTTCCCGAATGACAAGGGCCACGTCGAGGTTCAAACCAGGCAGCTCACATCCCGCATGGATCCGGCAAGGCCATACTTCTTGCTCTACCTCGCAGCACCCGTTCTAGCTGTCATTCTCGCCCTGGCGGGGTTCAGCGTCTGGGTCCACTTCCACGAGGAGATCCCGAGCATGAACACGGTGAACGTCATGGAGATCATTGTCCGCTCCAAGGTTCTGGACCTTAAGAAACCTCTAAACGACGCGCAAAATGAAACCGAGATCAGGGAGGTTAAGGTCAACTATAGAAGGGTATCGGACGATGGTGCAGAGTTCGGATTGTGTGCTGCAAAGGAGGGTTTCGATGAACGCTAGACTACGGAGTAAGGCCGGTTGAGATTTTATTACGGTGTAGGATGAGCTCCGTCACACGGCTTGTTTGTTTTAAGACATGTTGGTTCGCTTGCTTATTTGTTCTGATACATGTAAGACTCCACGGCTTTTAGTTTTGGGGGTTGGTGCATGCGAGAGGGAGTAAGGCAGGTTGATACATTCTCGATTTCTTTTTGAAGGGGGTTTCTCTTTTTCCAATTGGGTCAATAGAATGAATTCCAGGGGCTTTGCTTCTAGTCCTTCTTTAAAGCAGTGAGTACAATCATCGAGATTGCTAGTAGCAGGAGCAGTTCCTCTAGGATCTGGATGAATATGCAGATTGCTGCGCGAATCACCGCATACTGTTGCTGCAGCTTTACACCAACGCCATGCGTGTAGCGAAGAAGAAAGACAGGACTGAACCATCTCATTTCCGGAGCTGGGATATTACGCGCTACGGAAATATCTTCATCCAGGGCCCTTCGAGAATCTCCTCCGAGTCCAAATCGTAGTACCCCCTCGGCGCCCGCTCCACCAGACTCCTCGCCACGACGCACAGCGCCCTTCCGTTGATGTTGCGATCGCTCAAGATGCGCAGCAGACACTCGGCCGCATCGTCGCCACTCGCCAATGGGATGTCGTTCGCGTCGAGGAGCTCGAGAAGCTGAGGCGGGACGAGGGCAGTTTTGAGGAACCTGAATCAGGAAGAAAAGCGCCTGCCAGTCAGTATCCAAACAAGGTACAGATCGCGGGTAGGGATGGCGCACGAAGGACAAATGGTATTCACCCTCGTGCCGTGCGCGCCCACAACGCGCCGCAGGGTTCTCATGAGCCCGCGGACGGCCCACTTGGAGGCGCCGTATTGGCAGAAGGTCGAGGTGTCCAGGTAGGCCGCGATGGATCCCTGGAGAACCAAGCTCGTGTCGGGGGGCTCTTTGCTGCCGTCGGCGATGGCGGTAGCGTGCTGGCGGCGGAAGTGGTGGAGGGCGAGTTTGGTGGTGTAGAGGACGCCATTGAAGTTGACGTCGATGGTATTGAGGGACGGTTCGGAAGGCTCGTCATTGGTGTTGTCCTCTGTCGAGAAGATTGCGTCATTGGTGCTGATTCCGGCATTTGCTACGACAGCGTGGATGAGGTTTGTTGGCGAGAAAGAGCGTGCGGTGTTGAAGAGGACGACTTGGTCACTCCATTTCCTGACGTCGCATTTGATGAATAGAAGCTGACTGAGGTACAGTTAGTTTTAGGAATGTCTTCCCACGCAGAATACCTACTTTGGAAACTCTGACATGAGGTTCTCAGCCGGGTCGGAATGGATATCGCCAATCACGACGTATGCGCTACATGAACGGGGCCGTGTGTCAGCGTGCAAGGCATCGAGTCCTCTGCAAGGTGCCAACTCACCCTTTCTTCGCGAGAGCTCTAACGTAAGCTGCTCCAATCCCTTGCGCTCCTGCCCAGATGGTCAGCTACAGAAATACGTGGTAGGGATGGTATGCTTACCGCCCGTGACTATTGCAGTCTTACCGCGAACTGTATCGAAATTGAACGCGGTAGTACAATCTACTGGTGGTGATGCCATGGTTTTGGTGGAAGAAAGGTCACGAGGGTAGAGATGAACGGGATCTCGAGATTCTTTGTGTGGAAAGCCAATCTCACAGGGCTTTATATGTGCGCGCGGGTCGCGGGGTCCCGCGGACTTCCCCGCGCTAGTGACCGTGGCCAGTAGCATCCAGAGCCCTGGTGTGATGTTTTGCGGAACTCCAGAACGTCCGGAGATTTCCACATCTGAGTTTCAGCTGAGCCTGGGGTAAACTTTTAACCGCCGAGTAGATTGGTACGCCGTCTACGAAGCTTTCGGCCCCCGAGTCCGAATCCGCCTGGCAACTACGATCAATCCCCTATCTATCACTCCAGATGTCATGAAAGTAGTGCCAGAATCTTGGGCTTAAATCCTCCGTTTGCTTATTATGTTCGTTGCCATACTGTTTATTGAGGAACGTTCACATGTCTCTTGCACCGACCAGGTTATATTGCGCCCGAACTCCACATACATTGTCCAGTATCCTTTACAAAATCTTAACGTCGGGCTTCTGTCTCTCCAATTTTCCGGTGATGGGATCTGATTCAGCAGACTCCCAGCAGCATGTAGACTTGGAGAGAGACGGTGGTGAGGCTCAGTTCGGGGGGCATCCAGGTCTGAAGGATAGGTGAGGTGAGGGATGTGGCGAGAAAGAGGGTGGTGAGGGCCGAGGTGGTGGTGAAGTGCATGGTGGATGGTGGATGGTGGGCCGTGAGGTGGTGAGATGGTGAGATGGTATATTGGGTTGGACGAGTGTTGGGCTTGGTGGTGGGGTTGCTGGTAGCGGAATGGTGTGCGTTTGAAGATTTTCCTGGCCTGCGGCTGTTTCTGTATGCCATCTTGGGCTGCTGCGTGTTGGTGAGTACGAGCTGCGGCCGATATGATGTCATGGAAGCAGTACTCGGTCTAGAGCTGGACAGGGAGTCGGCAGATCCCTTGCAGAATTTTGGCACAACAGCTTGTATCGAGCCGCTGTCTGCATCCTCCGTCCCTTGCACTGCTAGCGTGTCCTGTGGGATGTCAAGGTAGAGCGACAACCGTCGTGTGTTTTTGTTTACAGATGACAGATCGGTGGCTTAGATGCATGGTGTGGTCCCATGACGGACCTTGCCGGTACGAAAGTCCAGAGCAGTATAGGCTCTGTGAACGTAGAACAGCATTATTTTGTACCTGCAGATTGGCTGAGTAATGCTGACATCTCAGGGGCGTAGACCTTCCCGCCTTGGTTCGCCGGGTGCAGGGCGCGCGCCGGGGCTACTTTCCATCACCACGCCGCGTAGCTGCGACACGATGCAAACCACGCGGCGGCTGCAGATGACACCTTTGAGTCCGTGATCTAATTGCGAGCTGCACTAGCTATAGAATGGTGCGTTTTTCTAGATGGGAAAACTGGAAGTTATACCCAGGCCTAACTAGCCGATCGCCGTTTACGAAAGGGATCCCTCGGTGCAGTGAGCAGAGAAACTCGGGTTAAGGCGGGGCGGGCATCGACTCGTGACGTGGCGCAAGCAGTCGTCGCTTATGTGTAACCCCCCAACATTAGTAAGGCTTATTGCCTAGAGCTACGTGGCGAATCGTCTTATCTTGTGCTTGTACTCATCAGACTCGGCGTCAACATGGACCATTTCGAAAGTCTTGGCCCGTTTCGCTACGGCGAGGCACCGTTGCGACCGATACGTTGGCTTGGATACGATCACGAGAGCCACCCCCCATGCGACTTTCGAGATTACCTGCTGAGCCGTGGATGGAGCTTCTCGGCGCAGGAAAGACTCAGATCAAAGCCAGTTGACGAGGATTTCATCAGTGGTACTCTGCCCATGGTCCAAAGCTGGCTCTTCATCGGTGCTCTGGAGTCAATGGCAAAACGCCGAATACCTGCAGAGGACTTTATTCGCACGAGGCTGAACAGACCACATGTTTCGACACGGATCGTTGCACCCCTGCTCGAAAATTGGGAAGACTCTGTCGAGGAGCTGGCGCTGCCCGAGCGCGAGGCCTTGAACGATGAGCTCGGGGACATTCTTTCAGAAATCCAGTTCTGGTGCTTCAAGCTGGCTTCCTCAACCGTCACACCCGACGATCCCAAAGCCGTGCTCTCCACCCCGACTGAAATCGACGCCACGTGCAGGTTGTTGACTTTGATTGGCGAAGCCATCAACACTGCAAGGACCTACCTCCACACGCCGGCACTGCCCAATGCAAAGGGCTTCGCGGGAGCTTATACCCCCCTCGAAGGCAGACGGCTCGTCTCTCGTCTGGTCAAGGTTGGGTGGTGTCCATTCATGGCGCGCATGTTAGTTACCTATCGATACTCGGTCGCCGAGTACGCGTCTTTCTGGAGCAAGAAGGAGCCGAGATACGGTAGGAGACACAGCCGCTGTTCACCTGCACAGTGTGTGGCGTATGACGTGGACACGTCGACGTACAGGCCGCGCCATGACGCTCCTGGATGTGATTGCGGCCATGTAGTTCCATGCGTCGGGCAGATGAAAGAGCTGCTTGATAACGGAAGGATTCCCGTCCTCACGATTGCCCCGCAGTCGGGCACGGCAACCGAAAACATCCGCCTCGACGTTTCAGATGCCGCCGCATTCCAAGACAGTGGAGGCTACGCTGCATTCTCCCACGTCTGGTCAGACGGCATCGGGAGCACCTCAGAAGCCGGCCTCCCGTCCTGTGTCATCAAGAACCTGTTCAACCAAGCGCGGGCATACGGCCGAATCTGCATCTGGATCGACTCCCTGTGCGTCCCCGCCGATCCGGGCGTGCGCGAAAAGGCAATCCGGCTCATGGCGGCGACGTACCGCAGGGCAGCCATCACGCTCGTCCTCGACTCCCAGATCCGCCGCATCGATCGAACTCACGCTGCTCCTGCTCGTCACGTCGCCATGGATGCAGCGCCTCTGGACCCTCCAAGAGGCGGTGCTCTCGCGATCCCTCGTCTTCCAGTTCCAAAACACCATGGCCACGGCGGGGGACCTGTACCTCGGCCTCTACAGGATCCTGCAGGGCCGTCTCAACCCCGTCACGCAGGCCCTCGGCAACGAACTCCTCCGCCTCCTCCGCTCGTCGTCCGTCTTGGCCGGGGTCCCCGAGGAAAGCAAAGCGCTCGAGCTCGGCCACGTCTGCCGCATGCTCAGGGTGCGCACCACGTCGAAGGCCAGGGATGAGGCTGTCGTCATTGCTGGGTTGCTGAACGTGGACGTCGGTCCCATACTCGAATCGCGCGTTCCCGAGGACCGCATGAGGAGGCTTCTCGTGCTGCTGAAGCGCGTGCCGAGCGACATCGTGTTCAGCAGCAGGCGCAGAATGCTCGATCATGGCTTCCGCTGGGCGCCGCAGTCGTTCTTGATGGATGGCAGCACGGTTGCGGATAGGTGGAGCTTGACGACTGGGGCGAGGGCGCAGTGGGCAGATGTCTTGGAAGAGGGGGGATTGCGGGGGAGGTATGCCGTGACTCGGCTTGAGAAGACTGTGACGGTCGAGCGCGAATGTGCCCTTGTTATCCGCGCTGAGGGGAAGTTGGCGAAGATTACGGGATTGGACATGGCCGACGACAGCGATGGTTGTGTGGTGAGGTTTGACAGCTTTGCCGTGTTGCCGCATCTTGGTAGCTACAGTGACATGAAGCTGGCTGCAGCGCTGTTGCGGCGGGAGACTGGGCGGGGTGAGGTGTTTGAGTATAGAGGGAGGATCCTGGTTGGGGATTTTGACGTCTATATGGGATCGGGAGAGGGGCGAAGGGAGGTTGTCGAAGCTACAGTGCACAGCTCCGAGGGGTATGCCGAGATTACAGTTGTGTAGTGTTACGTTGCGGGAAAATGCGCTCTTCTCTCCTGTAACGTGAGGGACATGATGGGGTCTCAACTCTCAAGCTTCCCCGCACAAGACGCGGTGGCCAATAACAGAGCTTGAGACACGGGTAGACTAGGTGAAGAAGCGTATCTGACGTAGACAAGAGGATCCGAGGGACTGTGGTACCGTTCGGGAGACGCGGAAGTATGAGCTAGCTGGGTGCTGTCACGTTGACGGGATGATGGAACACGCACTACGGGTCAGAATCGAGGGCTGATGGCAGGGCTTGGCCGAGTTAGGCAAAGCGATGGGTTGACGGATGTGGATACTCAGAAGTCAATGGCGATGCGGGATGTTGTCCGAGCCAGACACACGACGGCAGACACAACAGGGACGAGGAGCTGGGTGAGACGGGCCGGAGGACCCTGGTGGCGGTGATGCGCCCCAGTTTGTGGCTTCGTGGGCGGAGTGCGGATCACGGCGGGCGAAGGAATCGGACATGACTGCGAAGCTGCGCCAAGTACGGAGTTACAGCAGCCACTCTGCGGCGAGAAACGCGCGTTCGTTCGCCAGCCCCGGCGTGGAAGTCGTGGCCGACGGGAGGCAGCAGCAGGGCGAGCGACGAGGCGGCACGGCGGGCGGTGATGTGCTGCTCGAGTCAGGGCTGTGATCGGCCGGGTCGCGCAAGAATGGCGCAACATGGGCATCTGAAAAACCGGTGGCTCCGTGGCTCTGGGGGTTTCAAGGTTGCATCATCGGCCGGGGATCGACGCCGTCTCCGCAGGGCGGGAATGCGGCGGCTGCAGGCTGCCGACTAGCGCTGGCGGCGGCGCGGCAGGGCCAACACGGCAGCTGCGCAGCTCCTCCACTGCTTCACCTGCGCTTCCGCTTCTCCACGCCGGCACGTCCACGCTGGCTCCAGGTCCAGCCCCACCACCGCCGCCATGCTCGAACGTCGCCGGAACCGCGAGATGACGAGGTGAATTGGCCGCCTGCTCCACCGCGCTGCCCAGCCCTGACCCCTGTGCCAGCTACTTCGCCGCCGTCGGCATCAACGTCGACGCAACCGGCCGCCTGCGCTCGTCGTCGTCCGCCCCGCACCCCACCCTGGCCGACGATGCCGTGCTCAACGCCCTGACCCAGACGGGCGCGCTGCGCCTGCGCTGCGACCGCGCCTTCGTGTCGCTGATCGGCCAGCAGTGGCAGTACATCGTCGCCGAGGCCGCCGCCGATCTGCCCTACCGCCGCTGCAACCTCAAGCCCGAGGACCGCATGTGCATGGGTTTCACCCAAGTCGCCAGCGACATGGCCATCTGCCTGAACACGCTCAAGTGCTTCACCGACGCCACGGGCTGCGCCGCCGTCGACGACGGCAACACCCACGCCGATTCCACCCGCTACCGCATCCGCGACCTGACCCGCGACCCCACCTTCTGCGACCGTCCCTACGTGACCGCATGGCCCTTCTTCCGCGCATACCTCGAGGTGCCGCTCAAGACGTCCGCCGGCCTCGTCATTGGCTCCTACTGCGTCGTCGACTCGGCCCTGCGCGACGACTTCGGCGACAGCGCCATGCCCGTCATGACCGAGGTCGCCCAGAACATCATGGACCATCTCGACCTGCTCAAGACGAAGCAGCAGTGCGAACGCGCCGAGCGCCTGGTCAGAGGCCTCAGCGTCTTCGTCGCCGGCTGCTCCAGTCTGCGCGATGTCGCCCGACACGACGCCACCGAGCACCCCCCGCCATACACGCTTCCCTCTGACGAAGCCCTGTTGAGCGCCGACACCAGCCAGCCGCCGTCCCACGAGCCGAGCCCCGCCTCGTCCCGGACCCGCCTCTCCTCCGTCGGCACTGACATGTTCTCCAGCATCGCCACGCCCATGAGCTCCGTCACCGACGTCGATCCGCTCGACCTGCAGGCCCAGCGGTCCGACCTCGACGGGAGCCCGCCCTTCTTCGACGACCTTGCCCCGCCGCATGGCTCCAAACTGGCCTTTTCCCGCGCCGCCAACCTCATCCGCGAGGCCACCTCCATCGAGGGCATCGTCTTTCTGGACGCCTGCCCCACCGGCTTTGGCGCCCTCCAGAGCGACCACGGCCGCACGAGACGCTCTTCCGCACAGGAGTCCAAGGACTGGGAGAACGGAGTCATGTGCGACATACTGGGATCCTCGACCGGCTCGCGCACCGCCCCCATCACCAAAAGCTTCAAGCTCCCCGAGGGGCTCCTGCAGCGCCTCATCCACACCAACTCACGCGGCGGCCTGATCTACGCCGACGAGAACGGCCCCATCTCGCCCTGCATGAGAGCCGCCGACGCCAACGGTAACCGCTCAGACGCCGCCCAGCGCCCATCCACCGACGACGTCCGCCAGCTGCTCACCATCCTGCCACAGGCCCGGTCCATCATGTTCCTCCCGCTGTGGGACTACCAGAAGGAGACGTGGTACGCCGCCGCCATTGCCTGGACCACAGACACGGCCCACTCGTTCGAGGAGGGCGACATGACGTACATTTCGGCCTTCAGCAACTCCATCATGGCCGAGGTCGCCCGCCTTGACGCCCTCGTCACCAGCACCGCCAAGGGCGACTTCATCTCGTCCATCAGCCACGAGTTCCGCTCGCCACTGCACGGCATCATGGCCAGCACCGAGCTGCTCGACGACGTGCTGCAGGACCCGGACCAGATGCAGCTCACCGCCATGATCCGCTCGTGCGCCTCCACCCTCATCGACACCACGAACCACCTCCTCGACTTCGCCAAGATCAACAAGCTGGTCAAGCACGACCAGGCCGCGCACCCCTCGTCGGTCCGCCCAGCCCTCGTCCGCAGTCCGCTCTCGTCCGACCAGGCCGTCCTGACCCAAGCCGCCCCCGGCGGCATGACCAGTCTGTCGTCGACGGTCCATCTCGCCCAGCTGGTCGAGGAAGTCGTCGAGGGCGCCTTCATGGGGAACGCCTCGCAGGCAGCATTGAAGCCGACCAACACCAACGCCCTCCGCCACCCGGCCACTGCCGAAGCCCCCGTCGTCGTCACCATGGACATTGAGCGCCGCGACGGCTGGAGCCTTCGCACCGAGCCCGGCGCCTGGAAACGCATCGTCATGAACATCTTCGGCAACGCCCTCAAATACACGGCGCGCGGCTCCATCCACGTCTCCCTCAAGACCATCTCGACGCCGCTGAACAACCTTTCCGCCCCGGGCTCGCACCGCACACACGTCTCCTTCAGCGTCTCCGACACCGGCTGCGGCATGACCACCGACTACCTCAAGCGCCAGCTCTTCACCCCTTACTCTCAGGCCAACTCGCTGTCCACCGGCGTCGGGCTCGGCCTCAGCATCGTGCAGCACCTCGTCCGAGAGCTGGACGGCGTCATTGACGTGCAGAGCACGCCGAACGTCGGAACCGTCGTGAGGGTCACCCTGCCCATAACGAACTTCGAATCTGCTGCGCCAGAGGAAGAAGGACGGGAGGGCATCGATGCGGTTCGCGGCAAGGAAGTGGCTGTTGCCATACTCGACCTCGGGTCTTCGTCTGAGGGCAGCACGGCATTGCTACAGTCCCTCACCGCTATGGCGAAGACTTGGCTTGACGTTGACGTGGTCTTGGCCGACGACCAGGAAAAGCGTGTTGGAAGTGATGTGGGTCTTCCTCTGATCGTGCTGTGCAAGTCTGCGCCGGATTCGCGACAGAAGGAGAGCAAGTCATTTAGGAATGCGACCTTCTTGGTACAGCCGTTCGGGCCGAGGAAGTTGACGTGGACGGTCAAGAGGGCTTTTGCGAGGCACGAGGCATCTGCGGCGGCGGCTCTGGCGAAGAGAGAGGAGGGTATGATGAAGGGTGATGAGAGGGTGATGAAGGGGGAGGAGAGGGTGATAAATGGGGAGGAGAGAGCGGTGGGAAGGGCAGGAGAATCGAAAGGAGGGATGAAGAGAGAAGAGAAGAGAGCAGAAGGAACAAGAGAAGGAAAAGAAGCCAGTACTTCAACAACGACCGCTAAATTGCCCTACCGAACAACGGACCTTTCGATACACGACGCCGCCTCCACCCCACCACCGGAAGCCCCCATCTCCTCTTCGCCGGTCGTGGTCGTCCCGCGAGTCGACTCGAAAGCCGGCCTCTTCTTGCACACCACAGCACCACCACTGCCATCACAAAGCCTCCACCCACCGCCGCCACCCGCACCCGCGTCCCCGCCTCGCAACCCCCACATCCTCGCCGTCGACGACAACCCCGTCAACCTCAAAATCTTGGCTACCCACCTCAAAAAAATGCCCTGCACCTTTGCAACCGCCACAAACGGCCTCAGGGCCGTCCAACAATTCTTCGCAGCACCCCCAGAACGTACTTTCGACGTCGTCTTCATGGACATCTCCATGCCCGTCATGAATGGCTTCGAGGCGACGAGGGAGATTAGGGCGATTGAGAAGGGGAGGGCAGCTTCGAGGCTGGTGGATGAGAGGGTGAAGAGAACGTTGATCGTGGCACTGACGGGGCTGGGCGCGGAGAGTAGTCAGAAGGAAGCATTTGCCAGTGGGGTCGATGTGTACCTCATGAAGCCGGTGCCCGGGAAGAAGTTGAAGGAGATTGTCGTGGGTGTGGCGGGTGCGTAGGGTGATTGGAGTTGCTTTTCTCACGGGGTTTCAAAATACTCTAAAGCGTGTGTTTTTCCATTAGGCGTCGAGAAGAAGTTGTTGCTTACTATATACCATGGGCGACTTGACGATTCAGCTCAAATTTTTTATTTTTTTTCGATTTTTTTGTATAAAGAGCAATTAGTCGCGTCGACGATAAGAGGGACTGGCATAAGTGTAACTTTAAAAAATGTATCCACTTGAGTATAAGTTTTGCTCATATGTACATACATACTTCTCGCTTACCCCACCGCACGACCCTTGAGATCTTTGAAGTAGGCGAGAAGAACACACGGTAAAGTTTTATTTACTAATCTATAGTGCTACCTAATATAGAATAACATGAGCTGTCGATAGATTGGCGAAGGCATAATCTATCGACAGAGAGACCCCCGGCGAAGCTGGGGCTTTGTCACTTATTATATAGTAAGGTAGTAATTACAGATCGTAATTACTACCGCTAAATTGCTAGTGGTAATGCTCGCCGCCGCCGCCGCTATTGCTAGTAGTAATGCTCGCCGCCGCCGTCGCTGTTAGTAAACGCTTACCGCCGCTATTACTGGTAGTAATACTCGCCGCCGCCGTTATTAGTAGTAATTCTCGCCGCTGCTATTGCTGGTAGTAATGCTCGCCGCTGCCGCTATTGCTAGTGGTAATACTCGCCGCCGCCGCTGCTGGGGTATTTGCTCGTCGCTGGTACGTTGGGGTAGGTACGCGACGCGCGGGACGGGATAACCTTAGAGAAACGCGAAATCACATGATTTTTCTTTTAAACGACTAATAGAAAGGCTACATTTTTTGCGCTAAACCTAATCCTGAAGTTGGGTTTTACCCGAAGTTTCTACGGCTCACCAAACCGAACGTAATTCCCCAACTTCGCTCCGGACCTTCGGCCCTCCGCTCGCCGGGGGATGAGATTCGTGGGGGCCAGGTCTAGGCAGCAACCCTCGCCACAAGCTCGCCACTCTGACTTCCACGCTAGTGGTATGACTTCTCTCGAGACCGCCCCCTTCCTCTTCACCTTGGTCAACTTTTCAACCCGCAAGAATGGAACGGACAGATGTCTCCTCTACTGGCCCTCTGGGCCTGCCACAATATCTGTGGCAGCATGCCATCAACACCACAGACCAGGATGTGAAAGAAGCCCTGAACCTCGCCAAAATCAGCAATCGCGACGTGCTGCCGGCTGTCCGCATTTCTGTGGATGAGAAAAGAGAGGAAGCATTGTGGAGATTCTGGCGATGGGAGCCCCCTCACGATCGCCCAGATGAGGGAAGCATTATCGTGCGCGATATCTTGGAGAAAACGGTTTGCTGGATCGATGCCATGCACGACGACGATACGCAGCTCCCCCAAGAAAGTCAAACGGCATGGCATCTCGTCTGGTCTCCCTTTTGGTTTCTCCTTCGCCGACCTGTTGGCGATATTCAGGTCTTTGGGAGGCTGGTTTACGATCTCGAGTATGCCGCTCGGCTGATTGTGGAGTACGCAATTTTGGATGTGGAAAAGAGTGACACTTTCGTCGAAACAGAGGAGTTGCCCAAGGCGGCGTTGCTTTCTCTATACGACGGAATCCTGCGCCTTTTAGCGTACCATGTTCGCACCGCCATGGGCGAATCCCAACTGGTTGAGCAGCATCCGGACCCACAAGAGTTGAGAAATTCCATAAGCGCCAAGGAATCTCAGGTGCGGTCACGCCTTGGGCTGACTGCAAGCACCAGTTATGCTCCGACTGGAGAGATGTACGCGAGGGGATGCGAGAATGCTGCGGTCCAGAGGGTTGCGATCACACAGGAGCTGCAGGATAATATCCGGACTTGGATTACTGGGATCTCCGTGGCCGGTGGGTCCGCCGACGCCCAAGAATATTCCCGTCCCAACAAGGCCCCTGCGAGTGCTGATTTCCTTGGCTCTGGTTCTTTCCATTGTTGGTGGGAGACGAGCTCATCGTCTCTCCTTTTGATGCATGATCAGCACCATGGAACCCACGGAAAATGCGACCTTACCAAAAGAGCCATATCGCACGCCGCCGTAAACTTGGAACATCCAGCTCCGGTTTTCCACATTGATTGCACTGGAAAGACTTCGGGCCAAGACATTCTCAAGCACATCGTGTTAGAGCTTGCTTTCGGGACTGGGGAGCCTCTGAAGACATGGGACAGTGTCATTGCCGCATACAACGTCAAGCAGGCGTTCGCTGAGATGCACGGCAGTACAATTCCTCCCATGAGCGTTCCCGAGTGCTTCACCGCGATCCTGGACATTGTAGCCCCTGGGCCAGCCACCATTTTGCTGGATCAAGTAGGAGAGCAGGATGCGAACCTAATCCAGACACACATGACTGACCTGGTCGATCGTTCCGAGAACGTCTTGAAGGTTTTGATTGCAGTAGAGCGTAGCATACACGAAGATACACATCTCCGCGAGGAGCTTGGCCGGCGCTGCATTGAGCACAAGAATGACACCACACTCTTCTTCCGGCATGCCCGCCCTCCACAATCCCCAACAAACGAGTTGTGCGACACGCCCGAAAAGGGCACAGAACTCTCGGCCGCCACACCCTTTCAGCAGAGCGATGCCCTCTCCGCGGCCCTCGAGGCGGGCCAGCTACGCCCACTGCTCTCCCTCATCCACCACACACCCGGCATCCTCGACAACCACCTCCCCAACAACGCCCTCACCATCGCCGCCCTCCACAACCACGTGCCCCTCCTTCGCTACCTCCTGACCCTCCCGCGCTTCACCACCGCCGACGACGCCTCTGCGCTCATCGCCAGCGCCTTCCGCCTGGCCGTTTTGTCCAACCGATTCCGCTGTGCCGTCGTCCTGCTCTCACTGCCAAACGCCACGTCTCCAAACACCGCGATCCCCGAAGCCGTGCCAACGCTCTCCACTCCGCTCCTCGCAGCCGCCACGCGAAACCACACGCGTCTCGTTCGCCTCCTGCTGGCCCACGGCGCCGACGTCAACCTCGCCGCCGCGTCGGACGCCAAGCTCACGCCGCTCGCCGCGGCCGCAAGTGCAGGGGCCGCCGATGCGGTTCGCGCGCTGCTGGACGGCGGTGCGGACGGGGGCGGGAGCGCACTCGACGTTGGCGGCGGCGGCGGCGGCGGCGAGGTATGAGATGACCCAGGTGGCTAGATTGGCGTCCACTTGCGGATAGAGCTTGCCGATGGTGTGCAGACTCCAGCTGCTGCCGTTGTTGAAAAAAAGTCGGTGGGCAGGCCGAGGTCGTTGGCTTGGTCGTGTATCGTCTGCGGGCCGCCGAGCCGCGGGTCGTCACAGCCGTCCATGGCGTCACTCTGATCGCACGTGTCGCGCTGATCCGGCGCCGTCAGATGTGTAAGAGCTTGTTTTTTCGAAGGACCCTTTTTGTGGACGAGCTGTAATCGAACAGTGAAAAGGAGATGGACGGCCTGAAGTGAACTATGTGATTTTCCGTTATTTTCGCCTGTCGTTGGAGGTGGCGAAGGTGGGAATCCTGGATGGGGCAGGGAATATTAGCCAGTATCTTCCTGACTGATTTCCGCAGCTCAGTCTCGAGTGCATGGTTCCTGCAATCATCGTCGTTGTCACTGTGCTTAAACGGGACCACCTTGATGCTAAGCAGTTTTTGAGAGAGTTCTGCGATACTCCAGTTGGTATCAGCTGTCCAAGGCGTCTCTAAACTAAGGCCAGCCTGATGTAGCGGAAGTGTAAGCGACCCGAAGGTCCAAAGGTCACACTTCTTCCGGGCGGATAGTATCTCGAAAGTATTACCACAGACGGGAGCCTTGAACCTCTGAATGTGTCCGCGGTAGATTTCAAACAAGTCTTCAATCACTTGCTGTCGAACATTCAAGATGCTCTCTAAGGTCTGCGTAAGCAAAAACAAGCTTCTTTTTATAGAACAATAACGTACCGATGATGTCTGGAGGTAGATAAGAGTCGTCCGCTAACGGATCGAGAATTCTTCCCATTCGCAAAGCGAAGCGGCCACCACTAGTCATCCTTACATCAGAGACCAATTTTCGTGCGAGCTGCTGAAACGAGGCGATCTGGCCGAACTCCCAGGCAATCCATAACCATTCTTCATACCCTGGATCCAGGAGTAGGTGGGACACATCGGTGATCCAAGACTTGATCCACGGCCGCACGAGTCTTGTAGCGCCATACTTGTCCGTTAGGACCGCAAGGCTGAGAAGACTCCTAAATGTCATGTTCTGGGGGACCTTATCGAAGTTCAAGTGCGCTATGTGTAGTAGCGTGGTCAATGGAGCGGCATCATCGTCGGGGAAGGATAATTCCTTCTGGCCGATCTTCTGAGCTTCCAGGAAAGGGCCGTCCGGGGCCAGCATCACTCTCCAAGGCGCGCAGGCAAGCCTCATGGCCTTGGAGGAGACTACAAAACATTTCTGTTGCTTGAGATTGGGCGTCCTTACAGGCGCCGTAAGGCGCATGTCGCCATCGGGGTCGCAGCTTTCCTCGAGTGGCGGTAATTCGATTGGGCGCGGGCTGGGCTGGAAGCGCTGTAATAGCTGGTGACCATTGAGAAGTTTGGCAGTGCCGAACAGATCCATGTTTGCGGTGGGTTCAACGATCGATGCGGTGGGTTCAACGATCGATGAGTTGAACTTGAACGAAGGGACGGTTACAAATGAGGTTGCCCCGTACCAAGGTACCGGGTTTGGTAGCGAGATCGGCGTTTTTCCCCCGCCAGGTTGACGAAGGGAAGGACGTGTTGGGACCGTCACCGGAAGAGTTCAAGGTGGGTACTGGAATAACGGAATTTCTTAGCTAAAGAAGAAGAAGAGGAAGAAGAAAGAGAAGGATGGGTGGCAGCTACCGGGCAGTGGTTGACCGAGGAAAAACAGTTCACCAGCGAACTGGCACGTGACAACCTACAGTGCAGGGTCGTGACACTGGATAGGCTTAAAGCATTTGTCAGACGGTTATCGCAGACAGTCACAGGCGAAACTAGTAGATCTGGATGGTTCATTGTACGACGCTGCTATCTCGGGTTTATATACACAAGCGAATCAAGGGGCATTGATCGTAGCAAGCGGATTCAAGGGAGGTACCTGATCAATATAACACGTTGGTGTTGAGGACCCTGTTGGGTTGATAATGACGTTCATCCTCACGATGAGCCTCAACGTCAGTTAAGTTTTAATATAGGTGATCTTCATTGTCCAACGGCTTTTGTAATAATTATTGATAACTTGTATACGCCAGCTGACGCGGACGCGTTGGTTGCGGTGGCGGCGGCGGGGCTGAGCTCGGTGGTGCGGACGTTATTAGAGAGCGGGGTGGACGTCACTGCTGTGAACTTGGCTGGGGACACGGCGCAGATGCCAAGAGTAAGAGTAAGAGCCGGAGTGGGCCGATCATGTCAGCGTTGGATAAGTGCTTAGGGCCTTCGAACAGAGAGTTGAAGCTTCGCTCCAACGGCCAAACATGCGTCCTGGCGGAGTACTCTCCCATGCTGGAGGAACCCGGAATCTACGCTTGGCACGGTGCCGCAAATATCGCAGTCTGCAAAAACATAGAGTGCCCAGCTGAGCATAAGGGCTTCACCGCTGGCTCTGTCATTATGAAGTGTCGGCCAGAAAGTGGCGCTATGTACTAGTATGTCTACGAGACCCGCGGCCCGCATCTTTTACTCGCCGCCGACGCCGGGTCATGAGCCGCTCAACCACCTAGATAAATCACTTCTACTACCCGTGCCGTGCGGATATACTGCTGCACGCCGGGACCGCGGGAGATGTAGCGTTCCTACTGGGGCAGGCGGCGGCAGACTTGAACGTGTCGGGCGAGGAGTATCGGAAGGCCCTCCGCAGATTCAAGGGTGGGAGTCTGCTTCGTGCCATCTCCTCGCATAAGCCAACATCGAGAATAAGTTAAGAGGCGGCGGTCAAGATGGTCGCGAGAGGGACATGAACGGTCAGTCCTAAAGAAGAACAGGATCAGAATTGGTATCAAACTTTGTTCTATAATGTGGTAATGACCAAACCCCACCCGCATCTTATACGAAAAACCCAAGCCCAACCATCTAGGTCTAATAACTGCTTCTTCTTGGAACTATCTAAATGTCCTTCGCCAGCTTAATATTCACCAGCAGAGGATGCTTTTCCCAAACAACGAAAACATTCTGGGATAGCCAATCCTTCTTGGTTTCGGGAGCCAGTTCCATGTCGAAAGTGCACAATACTTTGGCAAGAATCAGGCGCATTTCGATGTACGCAAGGCTAGATTTCCCAAGGTCAGCAACTCAAACCATGAACCAGGGACGTGTGAAGCTGAATACGTACTTCCTTCCAATACAGTTCCGCGGCCCGAACGAGAAGGGCTGGACGACATCTCTGCGGTCGTTCTTCCACGGTTCCTGGTCTCGGTCGATCCAGCGTTCGGGAATGAACTCCTCCGCTCGGGCAAAGTTGTCCTTGCTCCGGTGCAAAGCATACTGATTCATACCGACCGCAGTGTTCCCCGGAACGAACTTGCCGCCCAGAACAGCCCCCGCCGGCGGCGTGCGGCGCAAATGCGGGTTGGAGCCAGGCGGATAGAGACGCAGACTCTCATCCAGCACAGCCAGAAGGTAGGGCAGGCTGCCCGTACGCTCGATCGTCACCTCATCGGCGCTGTTGAAGGCCCCGCGCACCTCTTTCTTGAGCTTCTCGTGGACCTCCGGGTGTGAGAGGAGGTAGTAGGTCGCGCCGCTCAACAGCGTCGCCGTCGTTTCGCTGCCGGCAACCACGATGACGGGCGCGTTGCTGTGCAGGTCTTCCTGGATCAGCTGCCCCTTTTCCTGCGCGGCGATCAGGTGAGTCATGAAGTCCGTGTACTCGGGGTTGCGGGCCTGGCGGCGCGCCACGAGCTCTTGCGTCAGCCGGTAGAGCTCTCTGTGGCACTTGGGAAGAGAGGGGTTGAGGAGGGCCGAGAGCCGCATGAAGAGAGGCGCGAGCTTTTCATCCAAGCGGAGGACGCTGCGTGACCTGGCGATGTTCTTGAGCAAGGCGAGGGTAAGGCTGATCCAGGCGTGGTATTCGGTGGACTCGAGGCAGTTGAACGACTCGGCGAAGGCGAGGTGGCCGATGATGTCGAATGTGGTGAACTACAAACTTAGCCGGGGCTCAACGAAGCAAACAATGGTTTCTTTCACCCACATTGTACCAGTTGACCAGGTCGACGGTTGAATCTCCCTGTCTGCATCTCTCGCTGAGTTTGGTGATCAAGAGATCCGTGTATTTTCGAATGACGGGCTCCTGTCCCTGGAGAACTTTATCCGAAAAGGCATTGGACAGAAGCCGACGGAGCTGCGTATGCCGCGCTCTGTCGGCATTGACGATACTGGCATGCTCTGGTTTCGGGTCGAATCGGTAGGAGATGTCCTTCTCGTTCTCGGGCTTTCCGGCGCGGTGTCCATAGATGTCTTTCAAAACATCGGCGGTCATGAATGACAGTTCATCGGAAGCCAGCCGCACAACCGGACCGTATCGCTCGTGAAGTGATTTGGTCCAGAGATGGAGGTCTCCTATGAAGAGGTGATAGCAAACACAGAGTCTGCTCACACGCGCGTACCAAGGGCCAGGGTAGGCAGCAAGAGGATGAAGATATAGATTGTAGACGCAAACGCCCATCACGTAAGATATAAGCTGTGTGTTTGATAGTCAGCCTCAAGAAATGACAGTGGGGTCAAACGATTGCCTACAAAGAATGCCCATGATTTCCATGACAGCAGTAGCGACACGGGGCTGAACGGGGCAACTTGGTCCATGGTGAGAGGGGAAATGCAACAAAGAAACTGAAAACGCACTGCAATGGTGAGAAAGGTCGAATCTGCTTCCACTACTGTACTACATATACGTATTGGTGTTCGGCCGAATTACCGGGACTGCGATTCGTTCGTCAGCCGAAAGGAGAGCTCGGCCGAAAGGTTATGCACAGCCGCCAAGCCGACATAGGTATAAGTCGGCTGTAACGGCGTTTCAACTGCCCGCTTACGACTAGTTATGAAGATTAGACTTAGGAAAGAGATTGACATAGCGCTACGGCCGATAGCCGGTGAATGATAAAGGACGGGTACGGAACTTCGGCTACCTGCATGCTGTACAGCGGAGGTGATCGAAGTGCGGGACGAGTCATGTATGTTGCACTCCAGTGGAGCGAATAGGGGTTATGCAACGGCGCAACGTGAGTAGGGAGAGATACGGTGTTCTCGATGATGATAATGATAATCATAAACTCGTGAGTCGTCCGGCCCGCCAAGGAAGCTTTAAGCCATGCAGGCCTGTGCGGCTACGAGATGTGGCTCGACGACCCGGCCGGACACGACGTGCCCGGACGTTTCGGCGGCGACGGGCGACGGTTCGCAACTGGGCGTTCGGCCGCGACGGACCGGCTATCAGCCTATAGCGACAGACGAGTCGCGCGATCCAGCTGTACGTCTTATCAGGAAGCCCAAGTCGTGGCACGCCGCCAGCGGCGTCGACGTGGCCGACCCCGACACCATCAATGCGGTCCTGCTGAAAGCGTATGTGTACTGGGCGCCGCACTACAAGCGCGCCATCGAGGCCGTCAACGGGACCGTTCCTCATGACACCCTTTGCCGGCGAGGGCGTCAGCGCCGCCATACACGACGCGCTGATGCCGGACCGCTGTATCATTGCTCGTCCGGGTGACATGGACGGCACAGCGAAGGAGTATGAGAAGGTGTCGACAATAAGGCCATTAGCCAGCATTGATAAACAGTGCAGCGTCGTACTTTTTCTAGTCCGACAGAAGGAGATGTTTTCCAGGGCCAGGGTCTTCCAGCAGGCCACGCGGGATAGTTATTAGTGAGTTTGCCTAAATCCATAGCCGTTACTGACGAAGAGGATGTTTTAGAATCCTATCGGTTCCTCATAGACAAATTGCAAATCCAGAATGATACTTTTTGCCATTTACTGCCTCGTGTCCAATGTATGTATGTCTGGTAACTCTAGACTTGTGCTCACCATCTCTTTTCTCCCATCAGAAAATCACTCCTCGGATGGAATAGCAAGCCACTGCACCGTTCCAGAGGAGATTGTACTCCCATACCAAGAATAGATACTGATATCGAAAGAATCCTTCGTAATACCCAAAACTCTGGTCCCAAATCGGGGATTGCTGTTGGCGAAGCCAAGGTCGAACGAGCTGAAACCGATAAGAACCTTCGGCGGACTCGAAAATTTGCCCTTTGGAAATTGACATTCACCTTTCCATGAAGCGTTCGTGGTGCCCTCGCCCATGTTGTGATAGGAACCGATGGCGCAGTGCGAGCTGCTGTCGATTGCGATCCAGGATATAGCGGACCATATCAGAGCCGCATTCGAACACCCGACATCCATTGTAAACCCATTCTCATCGACATTTGTAGCGGACACGTGGACGCGTTTACCAGCTTCGAAGTGTAAGTCCAGTCCGGATATCCATGTCAAGACCTGAGGAGGTTTGGAGAAGGGCTTGGAGAATCTCACGGCTCTCTGAACAGAGCCGTGTGTCTCAAAGACGCCCGCTTGGATCCCGAGCGCATCCGGGCGTACGCCGACCCATGAGAACTCACCGCTGCTAACCAGTTAGTCCCTTGAAGCTTAGGCGGGGCATAAAGTTGACTATTTACCCATAGAATATGGAGTTGACCCACTGATCGACGCCGATGCTAAATTCCTTGGTGGTTACGAAGTCCGTGGTGGCCGAGAAACGCATATTCGCCCCGCCCCACGTGTCCATTTTGCGGAAGCCTGCTAATATCACTGGCATCGGTCTGTCCGGGAATGGGTTCTCGTATGGCAAAATTGCTGGCGTGCGTGCCATTATGGATCGGTGGTCGTGGACGTCGTAGGTGTCCCATACGCCGCTCGGGATCACCTCTCTATCCAGAGATTCCCCCGCGCCATGAAAAGCTCCGACGCTCGCGGATACAGGTTGCTTTGCGTTGCTCCATATGGGAGCAATTCGCGTGAGACTAAGGCCTAAGCCTCTGCCCGGCTCAACGTGCCCCCAGAAGCCCTGCAGCCACCCACCCTCCAAGATAGGGTCGAAGTGAACCATCTGCAAATCCTCAAACAAGGTACCGCCGCGGATGGACCACTTCTGCGAGGGTTCTGCCCAGTCAGGCGGTTGTCCAACGAGCGTGGATCCTCGATTTGTCGAAAGCCGTAAAGCGGTGATGCGGACTCCAGCATCGGCGTCGAAGTGGACTAATCGCCCGGATTCGACAGAACACGCGACAATCTTCTCGTCTGCCGCAACATTGAGCCGCAGGCGAACCAGCTTCCCTTGTGGGTTGGGTCTCCAAAACGTCGTTATCAGGCCGTTGGTATATCGGAGGGTGAGAGTACAGACGACACCTCGCCATACGTTCACGCTGACCTCGGCGAGAATCCAGTCGGGCTTGAGGTAGTCCAAACTGCAGAAAAGCCTCCCGGTATCCCAAGAGCCATGTGGAACGTCCATCCGGGTGTGCTTTGCCAAGCCGGGATTTTCCTCCTCCAGCTTCTTCACCTTCGTTTTCTCTGCTGGATGCAATACGCCCCTTGCATCATCGCACAGTGGCACAGACACTTCCTGTTGTTCTTCATCCGAGTTCAAGTCAGGAATCAGCTCCACGCGCGGGACGTACTCGCCAAAGACCAGCGGGTCTTCGAAAGGCTCCTCTCGTTCGTCGTCCGTAGCGATGTCCGGATTTTCCCGCACCACCTCCACCTCCTTTAGGATTTTTATCATCTGCCGCATGCACTCCCGTTTCGCCCTGGTGATGCCAGTCCAGGAGTTCGCGAACCTCCGCGCACTCGCGGACTCTTCCTTTTGCTCGAAACGCATTGAACCGGCCTTGACCGCCGCCATACGCGCCGAGAGCTGCCGGTCGATGTTCTTGTACTCTACGAATGCGTCCAGCAGCATGTTGGCGTACAGTGCGCAGTGATCGTAGCGGATGGAAACCGGGTTCTGATTGCCTTGAGTGTGGAAGCTGCTGACGCTGTCGAATCGCGTGAGAATGGCGTAGATCCGCTCCGGCTGGTCGGCGGCGAGGGTGGGAAATTTGGTTACTACGTCGAGGAGAGACTTAAGGAGGAGGATTGGTTGGGTGTCGTCTAAGACGATATTGGTCCCACCGCCGACGGTGTGGAGCGTCACGGTGATCTTGGAGTGGTCCGTCAAGACGGACTCGGCTGAGCCTGTGGCCGGTTGGACTTTTCCCTGGCGGAGGCCCAGGATGGTGTCGAGGCTGGATAGTAATTAGCAGTGAAGGGCAGACTTTATCAGCCAGCTGTTGCAGGGACCGACCTGGCTATGACCTCGGCTCTCTTTTTCTTGTTCGGCACTTGGACAGATACAAGCGCACTGAGCTGCCCACCCTCGACGAATCCTATCCATGTGTCAGCCTCGGATGCCAAAAGGTACAGAAATGGTGCACACCTGATATGAAGCAGTCCCCAAACTTCTCGTGAAAGTTGGGTACGCCCAAGAGAGCTTGAGGGATGGAGAAGGCAGAAGCAGGCCGATCCTCACGCGTTGCCACCCTGATACCAAGGTAATAGTTGAGATCCGCTTCCAGAAATGGGCGAACGTCGAAGGGAAGGCCGAGATCGGAGCTGTGCTGACCAGCGTTGAGTATTGGGACTGCACTGGAGATTTTCATCTCTGAAACCACTTCGCTGTAGCCGGGACTCGTCAGAATCGGCCGAGGATTTTAGCCAAAGGGGGAAAGTGTACCTTAAACTATCAACGAAGCGAGAAACGAATGCTTTTATGGGTGCTTTGCGATCTCGAACGGTAACTGGCCTGGGGCCAACTTCATCTGTGGCGATGCTTGGGTTGGTCTGCAGCCGGTTCCACTGCGTAGAGGTTGGCGTTGCGATGGTCACGCCGCTTTCCTCAGAAGCGCTGGTACTTCCATCAACCTGTGCGTTTTCCCAGGCCAGATCGAAGTGGTGTGAAGCCGAAGAAACATCAGCGCGCAGCCGCTCGATAAACACAGCGTCCTCGGCCAGGATTTCCTGGGTGAATGAGTTGAATCTTTGCTGCGTGAGTACGAAGTCCTGATATCCAGCAAAAATAGAGTAACATACCCTTGACCTGCAATGGCGAATGTTAGTCAGGGGATAGCTTAGTACTATGGAAGAGCTCACCCAGCTGCATTGCATCATTGTATGGGGCTGTTCGACTCGCCATGGTGAAGGTGATTTTTTGATTGCGAAAATGGAGCCGATTGAGTCGAGGGCGCACACTGTTAAATACCCGCGTCATATTAGGAACGCTAGTTTTCCGCGAAAGGAGAGGGATCCGCGCGAAGGGTACAGCTGGCAGCTCAAATGCCTGCTGTGCCGCATTATTATTGGCGCCTTGTTGCTGTGCCGCACTGGCGCCTAGTTCCTGTGCCCCACCTATGGAAGCGCGGCTATCGGCCGTCTGTGATTGGGCACTCGAAGACTGACCTTATGTTCGGCAAAGCCAGAAGTCGGTTGTCGGAAACTTTGAGACGGTGATCGCAGACGGTCACTGGATGAAGCTGGTGGATTTAGATGATGAATGTCATCGCCAAGATAACGAGCATGTGCATCCCTCCAGCCGAACCACCCCAGCAACCGCACCATCAACGGTTTATCTTCTTCAGCCATCAGGACCACAAATATTCAAAAGATGTACTTGGAAAACCAAGCCTTGACCTGCGACGGCAAAAAGTCCAAAATCGCTAGACGGCGTGGAGCAGCTGGCCTCTGCAATGTAATTTCCTTTCCTTGATGATATCCTTCTTCCTCCGATTCTTCTTTCCGACGTATCTCTTCTAGAGGTTGCAACTCCGACATTGCTGCTCGCCCAGCACTTGTTTGCAACAGTGGCATAGTATCCAACTCCTTGTTGCCGCGTTGTTGTTGAAGTAGCCCAGCATGACGGACGGGGAACGAACCACGAGCTCGCTGGGCTGGCAGTTCTCCTCGATCTATGCATCGATTAGACGCGCCTCGACGCCCGGGTACAAGTGGCCGCTTGAACCAAACAAACCATCATCTACGCTAGTAAAGGCGACGATTGCGCAGGCTTCGGTGAGGCTATAGCCCTGATTAATCAGTATACAGCCGGGCATGAGGCCGGTGAACGCCTTGATGATCTCCCTGCTTAGCGGCGACGCCCCGATCCCAGCGACTTGGAAACTGCTTAAGTCGTACTGCTTGACCACCGCCGAAGCCTTGGTCATGGAGACGACCATCGGAGGTACCTTTTCGGTTGCAAGTCAGCACCAACGAAGTCTCTGTGGCCAAGCTGGACGTACCATCCACAAACGGCCCAGCCGGAAGCGTTGGATTACTTGCAGCGTCTCGTGAAGATCGAAACGCTGGAGAGCCACCACGCCGTCGCCAGTGTAGACGCTCATGCGGGATGTTATGATCAAAGCGAAGGCATGGCTCTGAGGAAGCACGCCGAGACACATCTCCGGCCCTGCGCCCCTGTAGGTGCTCTCGAACATGGCCCGCTGGAGTATGCTCAAGATGACGTTCTCATGGGAGAGCATGACCTTTTTCTGCCGTGCGGCTCAGCAATCAGTGGGTATCACCGCCCTCGCGCAGGCGATGCGTCGCCCATCAAACAGTCGGTGTGTCGATCTGGAAGAGAAAAAGAGAGAGAGGGAAGGAGTTGCTGTTAGGGACGCGTTTTGGAGTCGGTAGACAGGAAGTGAGTCGCACCGTGTTGAGGCTGACGATTCCGATCATTTTGACCGTTGCCTTGTTGAAGTACTTTATACCAATGATGTCATATCACAGGTTCAACCTTCACTTCTAGGTATATATTAGCACAACATCTTTAGTTCAATAAGCAATCCTCTTTCTTTATCCTACGTCACGTGATTCCTTGGACTTCAGCATGCCTTGCCCGAGTTAATCCTCCACCCAAGCTTGGCAGAGAGGGCCCCCGCGAGGAACTCGACCCGCTGCGTCACCACGGCCACAGAGTACGACTTCCCGGTGGTTCCGCAGGTGAGCGGCGGCTTGGAAGCGGCGGCGGGGTGGTGTCCGTAACTATCGTCAAGCCCAAAGAGGAACTCGTGGATAGAGACTGCATCCGGAGGCTGGAAGGGCAGCTTCGGAACATGGGATGGTGCGGTAAAATGCATTCTAGAGGACCTTGGACGTCAGTTCTGTCGCTCAAGCTGTGCGTTCGGTTTCTTTACTATCGCAATACGAGCGCTACGTCATAGGTCGCCCGCTCGTCTGCCTTGGCCGAACATCTTGGCCATGTTCGAGTTTGACCCTTGAGACTCCTCGCCACTTACGCTGCCGCCTGACGCATATCATCTGACTGAAGTGTTTTACTGTCCGGCTGCGAATTGTCACGTGTGCAGTCAAAGCTGGGTCGTCAATCATCCTTCATGGAAATGTCAACAAAACACCGGTGAATCCAACCAGTGGCGTTTGTAATCCGAGAACCGCAAAGCTCTGGAGGTGACCCAACTACTGTGAATACTTGTAGCTCACATTGTCTCATGAAATTCTAGTTGGTTGGTTTGGGTGCCAAATGTAGAGCGTCCCGAGGAAAGCGGTCTTCCAGAAATTAAGCCCTCTATACGTAATTTAAACAGGAAATACACGACCACGACCCGAGTTAGCGACGAGGATAACACACGAATCATGTTTCTCGATCTTATTGCTTCATTGCGTTTCTTGCGCGCGTGTCTACATTAATGGTAGCATTTGCCTCCAACGTGCCTTGACTGTTCCGTAACACGTCGGCCATAGCTTAACCTTCACATACTTTCCTAATTGTCGCGATCGAAGTAAGATGTGTCCTCCTTGCAAGTTCCCTGGCTAGAGGCTTCAATTCTGCATCCCATCTGTCTGCTGTACCGGTCCACGTGAACTTCGTGTGCTCGTTGCTCGTGCCATCACGCTCGAGCTGAATGATGCCGACCGGATCCTGTCCAGGCAAAGGATGGGGCTCAAGGACGCGGTATACAAAACGGTATGTCTCGTGATCGCAGTCCTCGATGCGTTCCGTGAATATGCCATGGTTGAAGTGCATCTTGCGGACCGCGCCCTTGCCGGAACCGCTAACGAGTGCCGACCGAAAGCAGCCGAGGATCCACAGCTTCTCCGTTCCGATTGCCGCGACATATGGCCATACTTCTTCGATCGGGGCGTTGATGGTCTCGGTGACCGAGGAAAGCACCTCCTTTTTCGCAACTTCTTCCCTGGACATGATGAACACGAAGCACGGCCTAGATAGTATTACGAAGAGATCGTGTGTAAGCAACCCGTCTAGAGAGTAAGAATGGATTTTCTCACAGATAATTGGAAGGTACAAAACTGCAATGTCTATAGAGGAGGGTACTGTTGTAGAATAGTGCGTCGTTGTATGCGACGCGCCGACTATGCTATATATAAATAATGAGGATTGGTAATCACGGGTCGATCCACTCCCGGCCATGAACACGAACTAACGCGAATGTCGCAACTGGTCTGTTTTCAGGATATATTAGTCCCGAAGAGACAGATGAAACATGCCAAGCCGGAGACGGGTAGTAGCTAACCCGAGTCCTTCTTATCGTGCCGTTCCCTTCCGGACTTCGGAGTCGTTAGGCTTCATTCTATAATCTAAGGTTTAGAGGTAATTAGAGGCGTACTATACTCCGTGGCTAACGGTAGCAGCTAGCCGTAGCCTGCCGATATAGCCAGCCGAACTTCTTTTAAGGCCACCCGAAGTTTTTCTAAGATACTATTATATAGAATCGGGATATTAGTATAAGTATAATCGTAACTAGAGAATACGGCTTATAAATACTACTACGTAGTTTAACTAAGTAATATCTACTTCTTTATAAGTACCTCTTCTAACTTTAGACTAGTATTAACTTTATTCCGCTACTTCTAACTCTCTAGAGTATTTATTTAGTATATATTATTCTCTATAAGCTCTAACGCCTCGTAAGTATTTTAGAATTAACTATTAATACTCTCGTTTAGTCTATTTTCTTTTATACGCTATAGCCGTTAATTAGCGTAGCTAGTAATAAGAAGTAGCTAGCCGAGTCCGCTCTATATATATTTACTATTATTTAAGCGGGTTTCTATCTACTAGAATTTAATAGTTAGACGTTTAAGTAAGATATATTATTAATAAAAGACGACTACTCTACTATTATACGTATAAGATAGACGGGTCTACTATTAAATAGCTATTTCGCGGTTTACTCGCGACGCGACGCTTAATACTACGCTACTACTAAGTTAATTCGATCTTAACGCCTATTATAGTAAAATAGAATAAAAACCTTCTTATAATACTTCTATACTTTTATATATATTTATTATAGCTTAGATTTCTTTAGAGAAGTATATTATTCTTATAGTCGTAGCTAGTCTAGTTATATAAGCTATTACTAATATATAGTATTTATAAAAACTTATAGCCGCGTCTCGTATACGCTTTATATACGAGATCTATAAAAGTTATATACTAGTTATATAACTCTCGCTTAGCTATATATAAAAGCTCTTTAATCTACGAGTAAAGACCGAATTTCTAAAGAATTTATTTATTAATTATAAGCTCTCTTCTTATATCTATCTTAAGCTTTCTATTTATATCTTATATTTTATATTTAAATTCTTCTCTTTAAATAGCCGGTTTAGAATATCTTTTAAGCGAATTTCTCTTCTTATACGCGACGCGTATACGTCGCGTACTAAAAACGCTATAATCGTATAAGATCTTTTAACTAGATTAGACTATCTAATCTCTAGCGAATTAGACGATAACGCCGACGAGATACCTCTAATATCTATTACTATAAAAGAATCTCTTTTTATAACGATTACGCCCGAAGACGTTATTACGAATTTAAAGACTAAAATTTATAAACTTTTTATAGTAATTTCGATCTTTTTAGCTTAAATTATTGAATTAAACGCTTTAATTAAGGGTCTATAGAAACGTATTAAAATACTCTCTTAGCTAAGCGTATCTAAAATATATACTTCTCGTATATATCTCGACTCTAAAGCGCGGAAGGCGATCTAGCGAGAAAAAAATATTTTTAAACTATAAACCGCGATCTAATACTATTTCGATAAGTAGATTAACGAGTTAAATAATAAGTTTAATATACTTAATCTATAAGACTAGAATACTAAGAAGTAAACTTATTAGACCCTCTAAAACCTCGCGAAGTACGAAGTAATCGCCTAATATATTTATTAACGCCTAGATAAATTTATAATTTAAAGAAAGCTTCTCTTTAAGAAGTTTAAAGTAATCGTTTAAAATTAAGTAAGAAACTCTATCTTATAGCGGTACGAGAATACGGTTATATTCTATCGCTCTTTAATAAAGTCTAGTACGTCGTATTAAAAGTACCGCGCCCGTATAAAAAGCCTATATAAATAACTTTTATACGCGGTAGCTAATAAGAATCTTCTTATTAATCTCTTTTTTATAAATCTTTTAAAGGTCTATCGTAAAGAACTTCTTAAATATTCTATAATAAAGACTATCTAGAAAATTAAGAAACTCTACGACTTAATTATTAGCCTTAAGTAAACGCTTAGCTTAGTTAAGATAGCGTAGATAAAGAAATAATAACGCTAGAGCGTAGGCTATAAACGCCCGCGTTTAGCCTACTCTACTAATAGTAGACGAGATCGATTAAGAAACTCGAGCTAATATAAGCCGCCTTACTAAGAAGACTTTTAGAAGTTAACTTATAGATAAGGCGTAGACGCTTCGTATATAAAGCGTAACTTAGACTTCTACTAGTTTAATAAAAATTCGGCTAGTAACTAATTCTCTTTTAGAGTCGATAGCTTAAAGAACGATAAGATTTTAGAAAAAGAATAGTTCTAATAGCGGCTCTAAGCCGCCTATTTCTAAAATTAGTCGACTAAGGCTTAACTAAATAAATCGTTATAAATATTCTTCTAAAGTCGCTAAAAGGGCTAGTAGTCTTAAAAATCCTCTTAGATTTAGAAAATAATATAAACTTTATTAAATAAGATCTAGTAAGTATTTATCGCGTATTTTTTTTATACGTTAAGTATACGCTTCGCGTACGATTCTTAGATAGCTACTCTATAACTATATAAAACTTCTATAAACTTATTCTCTAGGCTAAAGATAGAATAAACGTTAAGCGAACTATTAGACCGCGTTTATTTTAAAACGCGTTCTTTAAGGGTTATAATCTAATTCTTAGCTTAAACTAGCTAAAAGCGGCCGATCTTATCGCCCGCTTTAATACGAATACTCTTAAATAGAATAATTTATACTAAGACCGTATTAAGCTTATCTTTATAGTATAATTCGCTAGTTAACTAGCCTTAAACGATTCTATCTACTAGATTAATTTAGAAGATAAGATCTCTAGTTAGAACTAGCCTCTACTAACGTAAAAAAATAGAGATTATAATTCTACGTATTATTCGCGACGTACTAGCGCCGCGTATACGTAATATATATACTTCGTATTAAAAGCGTAAGATAATTCTATTTTTATAGCCGTAATAGTTACCGCGCTATAAGAAGAACTTTTAAGTTAATACTAAGACTTTATAGATATCGTATTAAACGAATTAGCTAATAAGCTAGCTTAGAACTCTAAATACGACTATATAATTAATTTAAAGAATAGTAAGTCGCCGCTCTAAATATCTATCTATAACCTCTCGCTAAGAGAGCTATAAATTCTATAAGAATATCTTAATAAGACTCTTAAGAAGAGCTAGATTTAGTCTAGTAAGTCTTTTACTAGCGCGCTAATTCTCTTCGTTTCTAAGTCTAACGGGACTATATAATTATATATCGATTATTAAGGGCTAAATTAAATTATAATTAAAAATCGATACTCGCTTCTTCTTATTAGCGAATTATTAAACTATATATCTTACGTAAAGATTTTTACGAAGCTAGACTTATATAACGCCTATTATAGACTTTATATTCGTAAGAACGACGAGTAAAAGATAGTTTTTAAGATAAAATACGGCCTATTTAAGTATCTTATTATATTCTTTAGTTTAGCTAACGCGCCGACTACGTTTTAGAGCTATATTAATAAAGCTCTTAAAAGCCTCGTAAATACTATTTACGTCGTATATTTAGATAATATCTTAATCTACTCTTAAAACGAGAAAGATTACGTCTAATACGTTTAGTAGATACTTTAGCGTCTCTAAAACTAGAGCTTATATATTAAAATATTAAAGTATATCTTTTATATAATCTACGCGGAGTTTTTAGAATTTATTATAACGTCTAACGGCGTTATAATAGATTCTAAACGCGTAAAGACTATTTAAGAATAACTAAAATCTAGCTTCTTTTATAATATATAAGTATTTCTTAGCTTTACTAACTTCTATAAGCGATTTATATAGAACTACTTCTCTATTACTAAGCCTTTAAATAACCTCCTCTAAAACGCTACTTAGGTATCTAAGAGATTATAAGTCTAAGTTATTTAGATTTAGAGGGGCGTAGGGGCCGAAACCGTAGGACTTAGCGAAAATTTTAGAACACTAAAATTTTCGAACACTAAAATTTTCGAATACTAAAATTTTCGAATATTTCGTTTATCGATTCTTTATAATACTCTACTAGAATATTAACTATAGTTAATATTAAGCGTAACTCTTGCGTAAAGCTTAGTAGAAGTAAGCGTAAGTACGTAGCGTACTAAAGCCTAAAGCGTATTTAGTAAAGCGTAACGCTAGCCCTTTACGCAGTGCGCGGCGCACTAGAAGCCTATTTAGAAAAGCGTAACGCTAGCCCTTTACGTAGTACGCGGCGCACTAGAAGCCTATCTAGAAAAGCGTAACGCTGGCCCTTACGTAGTACGCGGCGTATTGGAAGCCTACCTAGAAAAGCGTAACGCTGGCTCTTTATATAGTGCGCGGCGCACCGAAAGCCTATTTAGAAAAGCGTAACGCTGGCCCTTACGCAGTGCGCGGCGCACTGGAAGCCTACTTGGAAAAGCGTAACGCTAGCCCTTACGTAGTACGCGGCGCACTGGAAGCCTATCTAGAAAAGCGTAACGCTGGCCCTTTACGTAGTACGCGGCGCACCGAAAGCCTATCTAGAAAAGCGTAACGCTGGCCCTTACGCGAAAAGCGTAACGCTGGCCCTTTACGTAGTGCGCGGCGTACTAGAAGCCTATCTAGAAAAGCGTAACGCTAACCCTTTACGTAGTACGCGGCGTACCGAAA